TCAATTCTTATCTCAAACACACGTCAGCCCCTCTGATTGGAGAGAACGCTACCAAAGCAACAGGTTAAACATTCCTCTGTGCGCCTGATTTGCTTCAGCTCCCTGTTTTCAGATTTTTCATTGACTTGCATGTATTTAATCCAAAGCACAGTGAACCGCTTACGGTTTGCACGGCGTACGCAGCCTGCATCTTGTTGCACATGTGCGCTGAAGACTCTTCTTATCATCTGAACCCTGCCATCTCTCCCAATACAGATGGAAAATCATTCCCTTCCTGCAGCATTTACTTTTCCTTCTCTCCTCTCTGCTGCGCGGCCAATGCCAGCTCTATTTTGCCATCCTGCCGGCCCACAGCAGATGTGACATCACCACAGCTCGGCGCCACGCTGCAACAAGCCCCCCACCCCTTCATTTCTCTGATTCCCCAGCATCTCTCGGTCTCCCACGCATTCCTTCTTTCTCTCTGCCTCTGCACACACACAGCCATTTTGATCTAGCAAACAAGACCTGCGAGAGCAGGATACCGACGGGGAAGTGACAAAGTGAAGCATTAAAAGATAAAGCGGTGCACATTTTCAGCTCAGCAAGCTGAAGCAGAGGCAGTGTTGTTGTTGTGTAACGCTAACGCAAAAAAAAAGCCTTTGGTGTTTGGCTGCCATCTTGCTTTAAGTCACTTTTCTTCAATCAGGAGCAATGTGACTTTCTGCATGAGGTAACGCTGCTGTTCCTCCAAAAAGGCAATGAGGGATGAAGGAGCAAAAGAGGAAGGACAGGAGAAAGTGAAATGAGAGGGAAAGAGAGAGAGAGTGGTAAGCAAAGGGGAGCACATGCTTCAGCTCACAGGCAATCTATTTTTTACCATTTAGCCAGAACAAAGGATGTGATTGGCTCTGCCGTGTTAGGACGAATCTCCTCCATGCGAGGAACAAAGCCCTAAAAAGGCTGATTCACAGCAAAATCCCTCAAAACAGCAGAACTTCACAGAGCTGCCCAAAAACAAGGCTGTTGTTTCTCAGCTGCATGTAAATCTGCTCGGTTACATCATTCTGTCTCAAAATGATCAAATAAAATGGAGATGTTTGAGTTACAGAAGGAAATAATTAAAACATCCAACCAATGTGAAGGGATGTTTTTAGAGCACAGTAAGGGAGAGAGGGAAACTGGTCTAGTTCTGCACTTATCTATGAGATCTACCGGTCTAAACTTGTCTGAGCAGGCTTAACATGAAGGGGTGTGTGTGTGTGTGTGTGCACGTGCACGCGTGCTAAGCATTTGCATGAAAGAATGTGCAAGTCTTTGAGTGTCAGTGTGCCACATACTCCACACAGATCCCCCTGCTGGACTTGGTTCTCTCCGTGTACACATCCACTAAAACATGTGGATGCAATTAAAAGTTTCTGCTCCACAGTGAAGTCTGTCAGCAGAAGGAGGCTGAGATACTGCAAAACTACGGCAGGAATGGAGGAAGCTGGACGGGGGGGATGAAGGAAAGCTATTGGAAAGGGATATCACGCAAAAAGACTAACATTATTTAATCTGATGGCCAATTGCCAATGGATCAGCGCAGCCCCCCCCCCTCTTCAAACGATACAGAAGCCCTAATTTAATCTGCCCTTTCTGAAATTCCCCCAAGCAGATGCTACGATTCAATTTGTGTCTGATGCTCACTCCCTTGTGCTACACAGAGCATCTCCCTTGGTAGTGAGAGGCTTTTACCATCTCCTCTCAGTAGGACACCATTAAAGGCAGATTGATCCAAAGACAAAAAACATCAAAACCACCACTGGAAGTAAGCTAATTACAAGATTAGTTTAATAAAACAAAACAAAAAAGCCAAAACATTCTTTTTTGCCTAAGACCAACATTTGCAGACAGACGCGTTCAGTTAAGACATCCTTCTTATGATCCACCTTCACAGTCTAGACACTTCGCAAAATCTATATTAGAACTTAAGATGATTAAAACAATAGTATGTAGAAGTAAAATGAATGGTCGCGCTTAAAAAACATTAGAGCAACTTTTGCAACTGTTACCTGTTTTTTTCCCTACTTTAGATAAGTAGTAAAAAAACTCATTTTAACCAGCCCAGTCATTCTCCTGATCCGTAATCCTTTAGCCTAGCAAGAAATATTGTAAGTGAATGGTATAACAACAAACCTTGTGTGTGGAAAAGTCAATAAAATTACGCAATAGTCCTAATTCTGCTTGGTGACCTCAATAATCATATCAACTGCAAGTGAGAATGGTAAAGGAATCACAGGCGCCATTTTAGTTAGACATGGGACTACATTTCACACACAAAGCTAGTTGGTACCATTTACTTACATAGTTTTATGCTAAGCTAAAGCTAAACAAGTACTGCCATCAGAGCAGCATAACTGCAGTTTATGCATACGCACACATGCGCAGTTGTCTAAACGTTCACTACGTTCAGAGGAGCCGTCATTTCAGCATACAGACAGCAAAGTGCGAGGAAAACGTTGGTCGACAGTGTTCGTAATGTTTTACCACCCACAAAAATGAACTGTTGAATGTGTAACACACATTTTTATTTTACCACATCTAATTTTGAAAAAAATATCTAGAAAATAAAACTTTAAAGAGCAAGTCACCCCCAAATCAACTTATTTTTTCTGATAAACTATATGAATGTGTGTCTAATTGTGCTGCAGACACGTGTAATCAATAGTTTTGCACTTCTGTGCATTTTAGTTAAAATTTTAATTTTCTGCCTAAAGCTGTTAGTGTTGTGCCATTGTCAGGTAAAAACTCTGCATTGCATTTGAATTTAAATCTGCCATTGCTATTGGCTAAGAGGTGCCCTAGAACGTTAGCTGGTACCATCTGATGTCACAATGTTGTTGTGAGCCTGTGTATGTGTGTGTATTTGTTAGCGGCTCCACCCTCTCAGTCTGCTAGGCCCATTGACATTACTATATGGACAATGGGTTTCCATAGACTCCAATAACGAGTTTTTCTGCTAAAATGGGAGGTGGCCACCACCGCCATTTTGACCGTGTCACAGGTTCCGTCAAGCCCAGACAATTCCACAAAAGGGAAGAGAGGAGGAGCTGAGGGTGGGGCTGTAAGGCTGGGATCAACTGACGACACCTGGTCGAACTAGCTACAAGCTAACCTGAAGCTAACCCAAAGCTAATGCGGAGGTGGGAGCTAAGCTAACGAAGGTAGCAACCTAGCTACAACCGGAGTTAACTGTGCACAACACCAGAGCTTCTGAGTCAGAGATACGCCAGGCTGACCGCTGGGTAAAACCGGGTGCAACACATTGGTCTCGGAGACCTCCACAGGCTGGCAGCCACACAGCACACAGAAGCCGCGATCAGACAAATACGTCGAGCTGCTGGGAGAACCAGCCGTCAGCCCGCCGCAGCAAACAGAAGCCGCGATCAGACAGAGATGCGCCGAGGTGCGGGGAGAAGTGGCGTATTTTGGTGGTTCTGGCTTGCCATAAGAACCAGCCGTCAGCCCGCCGCAGCAAACAGAAGCCGCGATCAGACAGATGCGCCGAGCTGCTGGGAGAACCAGCCATCAGCCTGCGCAGCTAACAGGAGCCGCGATCAGGCAGAGATGGACCGGGCTGCGGGGAGAAACGGGTGGAAAACATTGGTCTCCCGGGAGCTCCACAAGCCGATAGACGGAACCCAGCTCCACCAACATGTTATATTTCAACCCATTTTCTAAAGTGCAGCATTATGTTAAATGCACTGGGTTTTACCCTGTTACATTTACATTTCATGGTTAAACAGTACATGTTAACATCTAAGCTCAGCTCGGCAGTGACCTAAAATACATAAAAATAATTTTACTTACCGAAAAAAATGAAGTGGAGACTCCTTGGACGCTATATTAGTGCAATTAATGCCACAGCAAGTCATTTTGTCCAACAATTGCACAAATAATGTCCAAAAAAGAATACACAAACACGGAGACTCAAAATCCCGGAACAGTTTCCAAGCCAGACCGAGGCTCTACTGATGCCTTTCCACGGAGCTAGCTCTGCGGTCACGTTGGTCTGATGCTCATTAATTATACAGAATTTTAGGCTTTTAATACACTTAAACAGAAGAGTGAGAGAAAAAAATTCACCCCCCTCAGAGTTGTCATGAGTGTAAACTAGATCATTTAAACCAAAAACATGTTTTGGAACCAGGCTGTAAACATGTTTATTTCTGCTGTGAAATTGGTATTTTTAACATGGGGGTCAATGAGGATTTGCTCGCTTCTGACACCAGCCCCCAGCGGATGAGGGTGGAACTGCAATTTTTCTTACTTCCGGGTTGGCCTCATTGTGGGGGCCTGGCTAGGCCACAGCATTTATTGCATTTTTCAAACAGGAAGTGGGAGTGGAGTAACACTCTGGTAGGGGTGACTTTCTCTTTAAAATATATCAAACTGACAAATCAGGGTATTATACTGTTGCTTAAACAAAATGTATGATAATCTGATGAGTAAAATTGTGCATCATTATAAAGTCATGTATACAATCTGACAATGTATAGTGATTGGACAGAACAGCCGACCAGGAGAATTAATAGTTTTTTCCTACATATCTAACTCTGGGGAATATTGAAACAGATTAAATTTACTTTGGGGTTGAGGGTTACAAAGATGAACGTTTGACTCTTTCAGTTGGGGCTCCCCCAAGTCTAATTTTCCCACAAATCATCATGTCAGACAAATCAAATCTGCTGCGGCGAGATAAAGCCAAGAAAAAGGAGTGAAAACAGTCAGCGAATGAAGTCCCTATCAATATCTCAGCGTGGTAAAAACTCAAAGAGGCATTGATCGACTCTGCACGGCAAAGCCAGTGTGACGGAAAGGGTCTGCTGAACAACTCAATCCCACAACTAAGTCTTTAACCTGTGTGTGCAGAGTGTGACACCAACACACTCGCGCGCGCGTACGGCTTTCAGCTGCAACACGTTCACATCCGTCATCATCTTTCTGACAGAGGAGAAAAGAAGGGAGAGAGCACTCACCGGGACAACCGCAACCTCCAGCAGACATCTTCTCACATGTTGGGCTCCTCTCTGGACGGAACAGCTGCACTCAGTCCACACGCTGCTCGCATGGGCTAAACTCTGAGGAAAACAACACACACACACAGAGGGGTGGAGATTAGAGGGAGTGGTGAAAAGCAGACCGTGTACAACACAACTACACTCCTCTCTGTGTCAGAGGCAGGAAGTTGGCAGCGGCGCTGTAGCTGCATCATTAATAGACATATTGCAACACAAGTGGGAGGGGAAATGAGCGAGCGGTGAAATAGGAAGAAAGGGCCTCGGCAGTGTGCGCGAAGAGGACGGAGTAGGAAACGTGGATCAGATTGTGAGAATGCAGGAGGGATGCAATTAGAGCAAAGGATGGGAAAAAGAAAGAGGAGAAATGCAAATGACGTGTGTGCTTGTGTGGCAGTGATGCATCGTCTATTTTTGCCCTGTGCTGCTGTGGGAGATAGACTCAGTAGGAGCCCAGAGGCAGAGGGTAATTACTGCCAAACAAACACACACTCTCACATGAACACTCACACACAAGTACACACCATGCATCATCTCTTTCTGTCTCTCTCACTTTCTTTTTGGGGGTTTTCTGCAGCACAGAGAACGCTGGTGTTAATCACCACAGACACTATCGATTAAAAATGCAAAGCCCTCGTGGAGCGCAGGGACAGCAGAGGCCCAAGGGAGGCAGGACGCCTGCATCCTGCAGCGCGTGCACGTGTGCACAAGCAGCACAACCAACACATGATGTCACATTCTGTTTTCTAAAGAGCAAGTTACCCCCAAATCAGCTTTTTTTGCTGATAAACTATATAAATGAGTGTCTAATCGTCCTGTAGACATGTGTAGTCAATAATTTGGCACTTTAGTGCATCTTAGTTAAAATGTAAACAACCTGTCTAAAACTGTCAGTGTTGCGCCCTCTTCAGGTAAAACCTCTGCACTACATTTGCTGTTTAAATCTGCCACCACTATTGGCTAGGAGGCACCTTATGACATTTGCTGGTACCGTATGGTGTCACAATGCCTCTGTGAGCCAGTGTGTGTGTGTTTGTTAGCGGCTCCGCCTTCTTAGTCTGCCAGGCAGTGCCTCTACAGCTGTTTTTACAGGACCATAGCGTTTGCAAAACTGGATTTGCCACAGCTCCCTGGGGAGGATGAAGGTCGTTTATAAGATCAGACCGTGGCGGTAATGTGGCGCAATCGTGACTATTTTATAAAAGAGTAGGTGATGGCGGCATAAAGGGGGTATGGGGGCCGTCTCTGCTCTGCCGCAGACTTTCGTTTATCTTGGACACATCTTGCTTTTCATTGCAATTGAAGCCGTGATCGTTGTTTTTTTAACAACCAGCTCCTAAAGGTGTCTGTCCGCATCAGTCCCTGTGCAGTCTCTGGTGATCTGAGCTTCAGCTCTAACAGAGAGGCTCATGGAGCGCTGCGGCGCTCCAGTTTGCCATCTCAGCTGATTGTGTTCATAAATCAAACCTTATTGCCTGTGTTTATTTTCATTTTCACTAAATTTGCCAGCCGGAGCTCAGCAATAACTCCCCACGTCATCATGACATCTGCCTCTGTTGCGCCAGGGCGCATACGACAGACCATTACCGCAATATTACTACCAAGCGAGGCGGAACGAATGCCGCAAAATTTGCGTGGCGCCATGCCGGCATGGTGCATTTATAGATATACCTTTGCGGTAATATTACGCCGATTTGCCGGCATGGTGTGTTGTAAAATGGGCTTATGTGGAGCATTTTTCAAACAGGAAATGGGAGTGAAGTTAGACTCTGGTAGGGGGTGACTTGCTTTCTATATATTTAACCTTTGAATTTAGTTCCTTTGATCAATTTAATGTCCTCATTCAGATCCCCCTTCCCTCTCTTGCTTGTTCCACCCTTATGTGGTTGTGATTCATTTCCTTTCCGCCTCTTTTTCTCATCTTGTTTCCTGTTAATCTCAGAAGTTCTACCGGCTGAAGCACGCCTGCTCTCCAAGCAAATAATCTCATAATCTCACTTCACAACACAAACACACAGCATGAATAGGATGTTTCTTGCTGTGATTTTGTGTCCCATTTGTGCAGTGTTGTGACTTAAGAAACTGTAAAAAAGGATGAAAAAATAGAAATTTACACGGTTCAGTTTAAAATAACAATACTGGAGCACGCAGAAACAATTTAGGATTTTTTTACATTTCCATGTCCTTTTCTTATTTCAATTAGGTGATGCACAATTTCCTGCTGCAAGGACTTTAACATGTGCTCAGTTTTGAGTAATGTCTATGATATGTGATCATGAATTATCCATTTTCAACAGGCCTCTGAAACCACTATTAATGTTATAAATGTGAGGGCATGAAATCTGATACAAGCAGACCAAGAAGTCTAAACGTGTAGAGCTAAAGGAGTTACCTCAGAGAGAACCAAAAAAGCAAAAAAATCTCAGCCCCGCTTCTGCTCAGCTGCGAAGCACATGAACGAGCTGAAAACGTTGTAAACAAAGCAGTCAAGGCCGCTCTGCTGGACAAATTATGCAACGGCGAAAGATTAAAGGACCCCAAACGTCTCCTGGTTCATTAAAGGTGCGGAACACTTGTTTAACTGATACATTTTCAGTGGTCTCTAGTAGGAATTAATGCCTTGTAATTCATATTTGGGGGGACATAAAACACTGGTTTCCAGGAACTAGAAGTGAGCCACATCACAGCTGAGCTTCAGACGGCAGGTTTTGGACTCTTGTTCTCGGACATTTGGACATCTCACCTCGGATTGGATGACAGCAACATTACTCTACGACTGACTCAGTTTGCTCTGCAACGTTGATGTTTTATCTCCTCAAATAACACAAGCCCGGAGGAGTTCTGCTGTCTGGTGGAGTTGCTAATGCTAACAAGCAGCTTTTACTAGTTGGGAAGTTCTCTGCTGTTTCCTGGATGCTAAACAAACGACAGCTTTCCCTGTCGTGCGTCAAGATGGGTGAATCCTTCGATTTTATAACTGACAGTGTGACGCAGATCTGTCAGGCTTTTCATTGTCTATTTTCTATCACAAGCTGATGCAGGAGATAGGTGTTTTCATGTTCAGCCTGCATGAAAAACTCAGAGTGACCGATTATAACCAGAAGTAAGATTATAATCAGAAACAAGATTTCAAAACATGCCTTTTTTCTGTCTTACAAACCTTTAAGTTCCCAAGAAAAATAGTTTTCAGACTGATGGATGTTAGATGGGGACTAAAAAGGATTAAGCTGATTTATTTTGGTCTCTAAACTAAGCTAAAAGACAAAAAAGGTGGCTGTAGTCAAAAAGTAAGATTTACAGTACATGCAGAAGCACATTGACGGAAATATATGAATGGTTGTCTAAAATTATGCAATCACATGCAATTTTTGTTTCTGTTAGGTTGCACACGACTTTGATGCTTCAGACGGAGGTGAGTAGAAACCACTGATTCATCAGATGCATGTATTCCCCGCAGAACCAGCGACCCCCGGGTTGAGTTAAACCTCGGTTCAACAAACTTCACATCCTTGTTGGCAGTCGCTCACATATAATAAACTAAAAGACGAAGAAGTGTCTGTCAAAATCAAAGCTGACAAGCTCATTCCCCACACGCCAGCGCGTGGGCAGAAGCATCAGAGCTGGATGTCATACACAGTGTCAGACACCGCTGTCACGACCACGACACAATGAACAACCCTGCAGGCCTCCTCCTCTTCTCTGTTTGTAACTTCCTCTTCTCTGACGGATCTTTCTTCCTTGTCCTTTTGGTCTGAGGGTGATCCCATCTCTTTCAGATCTTCTGTTTTTCTGTGCATCTTGCACAGAAACGACGTGTGGGCTTAACATTTACACATCTAACTACTGTAAAAAGGGGGGAACTCTGAACAAAAGGAGGCAAGAAGAACAGAGCGAGAGACATTTCTGGTGTTGTCAGAGAGAAAAGGAAGAGCTGACAGTCCACAGGATTTGGGAAAGTCGGTATCTGGGGTTGCTTATAGGCTTTGGAGTACTTGGAGTGCCAGCTGCACTGTTAGGCAACCTCCTTTCTTCTTGCTGCAGCCTTTCTGAAGGTGCAGACATTTTGCCACCCTGTCAACACATCCACACATCGCTCAAACAGCTCTCAGACAATAACGAACTTCCCCCTGTGTTCGCCTCCCTCTCTCCGCTGTGGGAACAGCAGCAGCTCAATAACAATACGTGACAGACAGCAACGTGCTTGCACACAGACACGCTGGCTGCTCTGCTCTATGTGCACGCAGCAAAACACTAGATGTAAACAGCCTCATTCCTTCTGATTTCTCTAAACATCTGCGAAAGAAAACAGGTGGTATTCCATTTGATGACGCTCTCCATTTCTGTCCTTCACGCTCTTTCTCGAGATCATGCTGCAGACATTTTTAAAACATCCTCCATCCCCGATATTACCTTTGTCTCGTTTCTTCTCTCCCCACGCTGGCTGGAAGAAGTCCTCCCAGGTCAGCCGCGGAAAAGCAGCCGAGCAGGTCCAGCAGAGACGGAGAGACTGCTGTGATGAGCAGATGCAGATAAGAGACACATGGATGGGGAGGGGGGGATCAAGCAGTGTGCAAATTGGATGATGAGGAGGAAGGAAAGAGGAAAGGGAGGAAGGATGAGAAAGTGTTGGAGGAGGGGGGCACTGAGCTGCACTGGTATGAATATGACGCAGAGCCACTTCTCTCATCCCTCCATACCCACCGACGGCTGAAGGGGGGAGAGAAAGGGCACTGTAGCCATGGCAACGGCAGAGCAGCAGCAGGTAGCAGTTTGGGAGAGTGCAGGGGCACAGTGGTGCTCCTCTCTCTCTGTTTTGCTCACACACAGACAAGCTTTTAAGTCTCTTCAGCACCCACATGTAGAGCACACCGTCTGATGTGCTGAAAGGAAGAAAGGTGTGCGGCGTGTAACCATTAGCGCACGGATGATCGTCATCAGAACCAGGATGTTTGGGATTAAAATAAAACTTGAAAGGAGGCTGAATGGAGTTTGTTACACCTCAATGCCCCCCAAAATACAAGAGAGCATTGCATAATAGAGAAACAAAAAAAGCTTCATTTTTCAACCTTTCACTTTTTTTCTAAAACTACTAAAGTTTCATGAGAACAATTTGGTGTTTTTCAGCCGTGGCTGTAGCGTTAACGTGACTAAACATGTAGATCACTCTAAAAAATGCTGCTTGGTGGGTCTCCTGTTGCTCCTGCTGGGGGATATATCCATTAGCTTGGACTGAACTGTAAACCAAACCTACACTGTAAAAAAAACTGTCACGTTTACAGTAAAATACCAGCAGCTGTGGTTGCCAGGAATATACCGTGAAAAAAAGTGTAATCTGTAAACGAATATACGGTATACTGGTTTTGTAATCCTGAATTTGACAGTAGGCAATGTTTCTTTTACCAAAATCATGGTAGGAAAAAAAACTAATATATTTGTCAATTGTACAGTAATTTTGTGTTAAAAATTCAACTTTACATAGCTTTTTATACATTTTTACAGTTAAAAAGTTATATTATATTAATATTTACATTGATTTGTTGTTAATTTAACAGTAATAGGATAAGCCTTATTCTGGCAAATAACTGTAAACATAAAAATATGGTAAACCTTATTAACACATTTGACAGTAAAAACACAGTGAAACTGTATAATAAATTATAGCATTTTATTTTGACTTAATACATTTTACGGTAAATTCCTGGCAACCACAGCTGCCGGTATTTTACCGTACATTTGACAGTACAATGAGAAAATAAAAAATTTTACTTTACATTTAACATTTGCAACCATTAAATATAGAAAAATATAAAGATGCTCAAATGAGTTAGTGAAAATTACTGATAAACAATGAGAAATATTGACATAGCATTTGAAAACAAAATAAACATATTTGTTCTATTCCTACCCACATCATAGATCTTGAGAATACAACATGTGTTCATATGTTATGGCTGGTAATCTGTGGAGGAATAAATAAACATGAAACACAAAATTACCTGCCCCTGACCGATCAACAGTTAATGAGTCACTGGGTCCTGCCTTGGTGAAGGAAAGCACTCAGTGGAGTTTCTATGGCATGGTGTCGAAGATACAAGCTCTGCAGGAAGACTTCAATGTCGATCAGGAGTTCACTTTGGTCTAGCAGGATCCCCTCTGCAGGAAAAATGGACAAAGTTTCAAAAGTTTGATCAGTGCTTGAGCAAAATGCACAGAAATGAACATGCTCTCAAAAACAGATCTAAAGATAAATGTTTTCTGAAGTTTTAACAGTTCTTCAGCCTACTTATGTAAAAGTGATACATAGACAACACAGCCCTAATCACAATCATAATTTATTGGAAAACATGGTATTCAAGTCTCCTATTGATTTATCATAGAACTTGAAGTTAATGGCTGAATCAGGGTATATGCAGGAATCTTGAAGTTTATTTTAATACCTTTTCAAGACTCAGTTTTTTCTAGCAAATGAAGTGACCGTTAGGTATTAAAAAATACTAAAAATTTCTTAAAAGGCAGACATTTTTGCTTTCTAAACTAAACTTTTCCTCATACATTTTAAAGTATTTATTTGACAAATTTAGGTAGCGAATGTTTTTGTTTGCTTAAAAATCTACAGATTTATACTGTGAATTCCAATGTACACAACCCCAAAAGATATAGTTTTACTTGAATGATACCGTAAAATTTAAGGTTTTCAGACATTTTCAACGTTACAAAATTTAATTGTAAAATGTATGTATATTTATGTATTTTCACAGAAAATAATTATAATTTCAACATTTTATTACAGTAAAAAATACAGTTTTATCCAGTCTCACAATTAACGTTATTGAATCTATGTAATACAGTAAAATGAAGTTTTTGGTTATATGCTCCATTACCGTTGGAATTTGACGGTGTTTTACTGTATGTTTTACCGACTTATTTTACAGTGTATTCATTTCACTCAGAGACAAATGGTTAAACCACAATTACAGACCACAAACCATCTGCATGTGTGCTTGTGGCTGCTGTGTGGCTCGGCTAACCCCTGATCCATTTTTACCTGAGGGACATGGGGGAGTGCTCACAGCTTTTCTAAGGCATTCACGATGAGATGCAATAAGAACTTCCTCAACCCCACTTTTGTCTTTGACCAATTTTGCTCTCTTTTTCTGTGTCACCTGCTGTCCTCTCACGTGTATCACACCATGTGCACTACACCAGCTCACTAAACAAAGGAGAAAGACACCTTCTAATGTTCTCCGTATCATAGCTGATCCTAGAACTGCACTTTTCTGGACTGAGATATCTGATTTTTTTCCCCCCTGGGATCTATTTTAGCCACTCCTCCAGTTTGGGGGTTACTGCCCCGAGTGCAGCGATGACCACAAGCACCACCGATGTCTTCACTCTCCAGGCTTTCTCAGGTTCTTCTTTGAGGCCCTGGTACTTCTCTAGTTTCTCATGTTCCTTTTTCCAGATGTTGCCATATCAACCACAACGGCTGTCGTCTGTTGGTCCGGTTGGTTTGCCGACACCATTTTATCAGTCTGGATCTGGAACTCCCCTACACTTTGGGTCTTGTCTGGTGTGGTAGATCTTGGCCTCTGCTCTGGTGTTAAGAGCCTGCTCCTGTGCAGCCATAAGTGCCTCTGTGCTGCACAGGAACACAGGAGTTTTATTAGCACTGGTTAAGAAAAAGTTAACTGTAAAACACTTTTTAAATAAACAGCGAACAATAACAAACTAAAACAGCAAAAAAGCTAAGAAAAAAGAAAAAGTCAAGCATATTCATACTAAAAGATAAATAATAACGGTCAAAAAGCAAATATTTATACAAAAAAAATTATATGATCAGAAAAAACAACAGGCATACATATTGAAGATTATTCCGATAATTTCTGAAATAGGAAGAAAAATGAGCCAGAAAATGTTAAGAATGTAAAACCTTTACAAACCCGTTAAAATAAAAAATATACAAAATAAAACGGGCTGCTCAACAGTTGCACACTAATTAGAAAATTTAACTTTAAATAACAAATAATGTCTGAAATGGTGAAGGAATGAAAAAATATATTAATATTTAGATTTAAAGAAAAGAATTGTAAAATATTTAGGTGCGGTCAAAAACTACAAAGTACTACAAAACGGAGCCACGCACATCTTGACGCTTAGCGTCATTTTGCGTCATTTTACCGGGAACGCTGTCACCACGTGTCTCTGACCGGCTTCCCTGACTGCTCCACTACTTTTTCACTCCGAAACGACTCCGGCCAGGGAGTGGGCTTTAAGATGGCGGCGGAGGAGACGTTAACAACGTGCAATATGGATTTATTCTCAATGGAAACACTAGTGGAGGTGAAAAACAACTACTGTGTTTAATTTCTCAGCGCGCGACATCGTTGTTGCTAGCTTTATTTGCCTTTCTACTCATATTGTGTTGTCTGTACAAGCTGTTCACTACGCATGGGAAAGTGACACGTGGATGCAATCGTTGTATTATCGGAATTTGTTCCGAAAACACGAACTATTATGGGTTTGAAACCACTTTATTCCTTAATTATCGCGATAGTTTTGGAAGGTTTCTTGAGAATTGTCTTTTTGTAGCTCTTATTTTGGGTGATGTTTGTTTGTTTGGCCAGCTAACCAGGCTTCCTCCTTTATAATACAAATGGCTGCAAACGTAGATAACATGACAGTTGTGTGTTGTGGTTAGAAACTTAACTGGCAATGATGCAAACAATGTAATTTACTCAAGAAACGCGCTCGATTGTGTTTTAACTGGGGTTTGCTACAGGGTGTACGAATAGATACACACGTGGTAACCGAGACTGAAAAAGTCGCACAGGCCCAGCTATCACCCTGACTGCACAGGTGTGGTCTTTTACTTAAATCCTATCTGTGGACTATGCTGAATTTATTAGGGTACAGTTTTGTGTTAAACACCAGCGCATTGCTGCAGAATGTATCTCCAGCTATGAAGGATCGCATGTTAACGACGAAGCATCTTTATTTTTCTATAAAGACTTAATTAGTGTAATGTAAACTTGATTTTTGCTCTTATTTTGCTGCAGGAGGACAGGTTTTCATTCATTCAGAACCTGTGTAAAGCCACATGTGTGAATCACATGTGGGGTTTATTCACACATGCGCAGAAGATAATGTAATATTTTCAGCTTATTCTGTTCAGCAAAGTGCGATTTCGACGTATTTTGATATGTTGCTCATCTTTAGTATAAAATAGTTGCTATAATTGAGCATTTTACTATATAACCTGGCGTTAACCATGTCTATTTTAATGTTGCATGTGGTTTATGTGGCCTCTACGGCGAGAGGAGAGGCTCAAACATGTCTGAGTGTGCGTGTAGACGGAAACACGTGGGTTAATGTCTGAGACTTATTTATGGCTGCAAATCAAATAAAAATTGCAGCTTCAGTGTTTATGTTTAAGAGATGAAGCAGTTTTTAAATCACGTTTTTAACATTTTATTTAATAACTTTTTAAGGATCCAACTTGGAAGAAACTGAAGTTAAGGTGTTCACTATTTAAAATAGAATTTTAGCTTAATGCAGATAATTAACTGAAAATCTGAGATTTTGTTTTTAATTGTTCTGATCTGCATGTTAATTTAGTCTTAATGGTACAGAGGCCTCACCTCTCAGTGTGCCCCTGGGCAGCTGTGGCTACATAGTAGCTCATCACCCATCAGTGTGTGAATGGATGAATGATACACTGTAGTGTAAAGCGCTTTGGAGTCCTTACTCTGAGAGGCGCCATACAAGTGCAGGTCATTTATCATTACTGTATCTACATGTGTGTGTGTGTGTGTGTGTGTGTGTGTGTGTGTGTGTGTGTGTGTGTGTGTGTGTGTGTGTGTGTGTGTGTATTATAGACTATTTAGGATTGCCAGACTCCAGAAACTAGTTTTTTTTTCATACCTGAGGCTAAAACATTTACTTTGTTTACATTATTTTTGCAAAGACACCAATTTATAAAATTGTCTTTGAGTTGTTTTTTGTTATGTTTCCTTCCTTTTTTGTTTTTAATGATTTTTAGTCATTTGTTTTTCTGTCTTTAATCGTTTTCATTTTGAAGCAGTTTTCTTCGTAAAGCACTTTGTTTTCTGTGATTGGTGCTAAATATTCTACTCACAAAAAAAGTCAACACAAGTTTTAATCCTAAGGGCAGCCAGGCCTTTTTTTAAATCATGATAATAGATTAATTATAAGTCTTTCTGACAGATGTGCACCTTATTTTTTATTTATTTATTTTTGCTGCAAATGCTTAACTTTGCAACTGTTTGACGTTTTGTTTTACATTTTCTAGTTTATTTGCCAAAATTAAAATCTGTAAATTTCTCTTTTTCTTCTTAGACTGCTGGATTCAACTGTGGAGAAAATCTGAGAGTCCTTCAAAGCTGCATAGATCCCTCAATACTTTCTATTTTTGAAGATATACCAACAGTAGAGGTAAGACTGGTGTCACAATCTTCAACGAATAACAGATGCTCCTTCTGTTGGTTTTGATTTAAATGAGCCTTTTCTGGTGTGTTTGTCCAGACTAAAGGGCTGGATGAAGAGAGTGAAGCCACGCTGCTGACAGCCCTGACAGAGATCCTGGACAATGTGGACGATGAGAACCTGTCACCGTTTGACACGCTACCTGATTCTGACCTGCTGTCCAATCAGAAGGGCGGGGAACACTCTCCAGTCAGTGCCTTTTCTGGAGATTCTTCATATTCTCTCTAAAGCCAAAACTCGAGTCTTGTCAGCTGGACTTCTTCAGTCTGAAGAAAGTTAGTTGGTGGTGACAAGTTTCTCCTCCAGTCCTGAGTATACTCATTTAATAGAACACAGGAAGGCGTGTGCAGACTCACAAGAAAGAAGTCTGTTTGGCATGACTCAGTTTTTGCATAACTACACCTAGATGACTAAAGCTTGGTTTATGCTCGACGCATTCACTTTCCGCGCGGTGATGCGGCTCGCGGATGGAACGCGCTTCACAACTCGCAGTGTTTATGGTTTGTGCGGCTCGTCTCTGCGGTGAGCCAGTATTCTCCCAAACTGTAGGGGGCAGCATGGAGCTCTACAGCATGCATCCAACACTACACCATAGTAGAAGTAGAAGTGACTGTTTACAACATGGCATTTCAGCATTTTTAACAGCGTCCTCGTCTTTTCCGACAGTGCGAGCTATTTCTCTCCAAGAATTATTAACAACATGTTGATCACGGTGATCTCTGAGAGCTGAATCATACAAATGTCTGTATTTATGAACCTCTGCCGTACTAGTTCTTGCCGGTCCGCCATGTTTTTCTGCGTCCGTCCGTCCGCGTGGTTAGAAATTTTCCGAGGTGCGCGTTGCGGAAATTCTGGGCCGTGCGGAGGCGCGGCGGAGGGGCGTGGTTGTTAAAATGACGCAAAGTGACGCAACTTTTCCGCGCGGAGCCGTGCGGACCTCGCGGACGCGTCAAGCATAAACCAGCCTTAAGATCCTTCACTTGGTGCGTTTACATGCACACCAGAAAACCAAATGTTGTGATGCTATCAGCTAACGGATTAGCCGAACTACGCTCGGGTTCTGGAAGTGACGACACAACGGAAGCGGTCTTCTGACAAGACCATCGTCACAAAGCAGCACGTATAACACCATAAACCAGGACAGTATGTACCTAATAAGCTGTGCTGCAGCGGTTTTGATGTACATTCCTTCAGCCATTGTGTGTGTCCTGTCTCTATTCCGTGTTTGCTGCTTGTGTTGCTATGAGCTAACCGGAAGAATGCCGACATGAAAGGGGGCATGTCGCCACCTACTGCACCAGAGTGGAACGAACTTTATTTGAGAGGCTGGTTTTCATTTGTGCATGTAGACTAGGATAAAGGCTCCCAGCTTATTGCTATAAGATCGGCCTGGATCGACTTAGATGTCTGTCAGTGTGAATGTAACCGCACTGAGTGTTGTCTTAAGTGTTTCCCATTGGTTGTATTCATATTTTTATTCTGTTATTTATCCTCCAGCTCAGGAGGATTCTGTGTTTGTCTCGTTCCCCTCAGGAGAAAGACTCTTTCTGTAGCACCAAGCCAATATCAGCTGGAAAGGTAGCGTCTCACACTAACCCCTGTAAGATATTGCTGCAGACAGGTGAACGTTCTGACTGGATATTTGTCTCATCTGTACCCAGAATCTGTTCAGGCTGCAGGCAGACTCTGTCCAGAGGAGTGATGGTGAAGAAGAGGAGGACAGCTCCTTCACTCTGAGCCAAGACAGCTGCGGCTCTTCCCGTGACGGTGACCTGCAAGGCTGGGAGGGTCTGACCCTTCCACTTCCTGTCACCTTTGAGCAGGAGAGTGAACCTGGTCTCTCAGTCAGCCTGGGAGATTTAGTCCGGCACATGCACTCGTACTGCATCCCCATATCTGTAGAAGATGAGATGGGGGAACAGATGTTACCTGAAGGGGGTATAGTACTTGAAGTGGTGGACCAGGGGGAAAATGGAGAACCCATCTTGGCCATCCCAAACATAAGTCTCTGCGTCCCCGAGGCTCTTACAGAGCCGCCCGAAGAGCAGAAAGTTCCAGATGAAGCAGAAGAGGAGCTCTCAGACAGCTCAGAGCATATAGTAGTTGACGATGAAGACGATATACCTGTCGTGAAGAAATGTAACGTCGCTGCTAGAGCCGCACCGGTGCCGTGTTCTGATGTGAAAGACGAAGTTGCTGCTAAAAGACAAAAGGAGGATAACAAAAAAAAAGTCTCGGGAAGAAAAAGGAAAAAGAAATGTAAAGGTGATGAGCAGCCTGCACTGGTGGAGGGAAGGGTCCTTAGGAGTAGGACTGTAGGAAAACTGGCACAGGAATCTCGGAAGAAGGTGGAGAAGTCCGCCAAAGAACAGAAGCAAAAAGTCTCACAGGTTCCTCGTACTTCAACTAACCCATCGATTCCTAAAGAAGAGGCAATAAAATGGTGCAAATCTAAAACTGAAAACACCACAACACCTGAACTTAAAGAGAGAGTTGCTGCATCACCGTGTCCCAGACAGAAGACCACCCAGCCAAGTCCTCCTGAGAAGAGTCCATCTACAGATTCAGACAGCGGGGCGAGCTCCCAGCAGCCCAGTGGAACTACTGAACAGCCCGTCCCAGGAAGCTCTTCAGCACCTCCCTCTGGTCCACCATCGCTGGTTTCCTCAGACCGCCCCATAGCCGCTGTGGCTCCAGAGATCACATCACCTGTTAGTGCTGCCCCAGAGCCCAAACCCAAATCACTGAGTCTCCAGGAGTACCGGCGGCTTCGACAGCTGAAGAAGCCCGCTCCGATGGAGAAGCGGGACCACAACAGCACCAAGTGGCCCACCCTTCCGGAGCCCCCCAAAGAGCTTCCCCCGATACCCTGCCTGCCTTACCCCAACCCCAAGGACCCCAGACATCCCTGCGCCAAAGCTGCAAGTAAGGAAGTGGAGGAGATCAAACCTGCGTGGCAGCCAAGGGGACCAGGAGCACCCCCCACCCCCGAGGCACTGTTGGTGCCACCAGCTTACATGATTTCTTCTTCCAGTAAGGTTTCATCAGCTGCTCCAGTTCCTAAACCCCAGCAGACCCCAGAGCCTTCCAAACCAGCCTTAAAGCCCTCACCCTCTCCTCCTGATTCAGACAACACTTCACCCGTGCATCCTCCCACTGCTGCAAAGCCCAAAGTTCTTAATGTTCCTCAGAGCTCAGTTCCTTTAAGTCCAGCTGACCAGCGCACATCTTCTGATGGTCACAGCTGCTCTGCTGCTTCTGGTGGGAAAGGTGTTGTTTACATCCAGCAATCACAGCCTAACTCCTCCAATTCTGTTGTGCCCACTAAAGTACCCACTACAGACGTGACTAAACCCACTGATGCCTCTGGATCTGTCCCTCAGAAGAGTGTTGGTGTTTCCCAGAAGCTGCCTGAGGTCACACCTTCTACCTCATTCAGTAGTCCCATCCCATCTAAGCCCACAGCCAGTATTGTCAAACCTTCTCCTGCTGCTGCTTCTCTTTTGGCCTCCTGCAGTCCGAAAACGAAACCAGCTGTGCTCGAAACTAAAGTGCTAACGACCGCACAAAGAGCAAAGCATGCCACCCAGGAGCTGATCAAAGCGTTCACCAGTGAAATAGGTGAGCTAAAGAGTTGATCTGTTCACATTTTGCATTTATTTGTTGGTTAAGGTCTAAACATCTATATTTTAAAGTCACATGAGCACCATTGCTGAAGATGTAATGGTTCATGAAGTAAAAACCAATGTTTTCTGCCCCTGAAGGCATCGAGGCTGCTGATCTGACTAGCTTGCTCGAGCAATTTGAAGAGACCCAAGGTAATTATAACGATCCGGTTCTTAATGATGAGCACACATAATAATGGATGATTGGAACAGCATGTATGACCAGTATTTATTAGGTGAAGGTTTAAATTACCAGATTGTCCCTCAGAACTGCCTGCACCGTTTAGACGCTCTTGCACACTTGTTACCATAACGGCAGGATTTAGCTCGGCTGGAACGTTCCCCTTTAAGAGAGATGGATGCTGCAGGGGGCAGAGAAGCCTCTTTGTGCTTTTCCCTGCTCAGCTGCTGGAATTTTGCCTCGTCTGCGAATCCTTTTAACTCTGCCCCTGCAGTCTTTGTTGGGGCGGATGTACAAGGCCTCGCACAATAGAACAAGTGGTTGGTCTGTACGGTGTGTGCAAAGTCACTCCTGTCAGTACTTGGGATTATTGAGTCGTCCATCTTTAATGTTTTTCTTAATACACTGTGGGAAAATTCATCATAGAAACGTTCTCTCAGTGATTCATTGTACTGACCAGTTGGTTTCCTGTCTTCTCTGTTGGTTTTTGTGCTGGTGCACTGTCGTCCCCGTTCCCTCCTTCAGTGAAAGAGGAATGTGTCCCGGAGGTCTGTGGTAGAGCAGCAGCTGTAGGAAACTCGAGGTGAGTTACCCTACAGCCCTCAAGCTGCTCTGTATGAGTGATACGGTGTGTGTGTGTGTGTGTGGGGGGGGGGGTGGGGGGGGTGGGGGGGGGGTCGTGTGTGTGTGTGTGTGTGTGTGTGTGTGTGTGTGTGTGTGTGTGTGTGTGTGTGTGGGTGGTCGTGTGTGTGTGTGTGTGTGTGTGTGTGTGTGTGTGTGTGTGTGTGTGTGTGTGTGTGTGTGTGTGTGTGTGTGTGGAGTACACCTTATGCCAAGACCTACCGAAAACTCTGCCACTGTCTGTTCTCCATAACAACCGTTTCACATCAACTCAATCTGAACACAAACTTAGCCAAAGGATAAACGTCTCTTCGCTTTGCAGAGCCGAACTGGTTCCAGAGAAGACTCTCGTGGAGCGTTTAAAAGCCAGTGACCTCTCAACCTCTGCAGGTAACTTAGTTTTAGTTTATTTGTTAAATAAAAGTTGTAAACCGTTTGGTTACTTTTATTCTCTGCCCTGTTGCATCTAGAGTTACATTTCTTTGTTCCAGCTCTGACTCCTCCGGCCACACCACCCCACCAGATGTGGAAACCTCTGTCCACTGTGGCTCTGCTGGGAAAAAGCAAAGTTGTTGAGACGTCCAAACTAAACCTGTCGAAGGTTATTCAGATAGAAGCACAGCCTCTGCCCTCGGTTCGGTCCCGTAGTAAACCTACTCCCGCTGCTGCCACCGTTGCACCTGAGCTAGCCTGCTTGGATCACGACTACTGCTTACCCAACAGAGACGCCTCTGGAGAACCAGGCAAGCGCTGGAATGTTAAGCAACAACCTTTGATCACCATTAAGCCCATCAAGCAACATGCTCCAGCCAGCAGACAGACACCTCCAGCTGCTGTGGTACCATCGCTCCAGCTGGCTACAAATCCTAAAACGCAAGATTTTCCACAGACGGACCGCTCGGAGGAGAAGTACGATGAGCCAAAGGAATGCTCCGTTCTGGAGACTCCTGATGCTTCTCCAACTCGGCAGGAATCTGAATCTTCTTTCAAAGTTAGGAGCCCCAGGAGAAGACCGTTAGAGAGGTCCTACCGACGATACGCTGCCTCCCGTACGCCCAGTCCTTCGTGTAGTCCCAGAGAGAGAAGAGGTCGACCAGCCCGAAAAAGAAGATCCCATCGTTCTCCAAGTCCTTCATCCAGCTGCTTGGACTCTTCTAGATCTCGATCCAGATCGTTCTCTCCGCCAAAGAAAAGGTTCGTCTGTCAGTTCCTACCAATTCAGTGGCACACAAAAGTCGCTGATCTTTATTCCTCATCTTCCTGTTTTATTTATAGGTATCGATCTCACAACTCGGGTAGCAGTTCCAACTCCTCGTCCCGCTCGTCCTCTCGCTCGTCTCCATCTTTGTCTCGCTCCCCTCCCAGGAGGAGGAGGTACTCCTATTCCTCCTCTTGCTCTGGCTCATGGAGTTGTTCCAGGTCGCGGTCTCGGTCCCCCGAAAGACAGTGGAGTAGGAGCAGAAGATTGTACAGGTACTGGACATTTGTGCTGCCCATCAGCATGAGTCATTGCTCTGACCCGTGCTCCACAACAGCTGACACTTTCTAAAAATGACCAAAGTTTGTCCGCTCTTCTAGCCCCACACACAGGCCCAAAGATCATTACGACACAAAGCGAAGCACGGAAGACTCCAAGAGACGGAAGGAGAAAGCCATTGTGAGTTCAGATGCTGCGTTTGTGCTCCCTAAACCAAAAATTAAAATTTAACTTTGCTAATTTGGCGATTTTCTGTTTTTATTCACAGGAAGAACGTCGGGTTGTGTATGTTGGCCGAATTCGAGGATCAATGACCCAAAAAGAACTCAAAGAGCGCTTCTCTTTATTTGGTGAAGTTGAAGAATGTACGCTGCACTTCAGAGACCACGGGTAAAACCCCTCATTTTGTGTTGTTTGCTTTAATATGAGGACTGCACTGTCTTTGAACCTGGTTGGTCTCGCTGGTGACCTCCGAGGCCAAGCTACAGTGCTAGAGAAATGTGTGCTTGTTCATAACTGGGGCTTCCTGGCAACACTCCCAGGTCTCTCTTTTAAAAGCAAGCGACATCACTGGACTACGTACGAGATAGTTCGTACCTTCTCTGGGAATTGGTTTAATTGTAAAACTGTTTGCTTATTATTTTGGCTTTCTTTCCCCCAGGGATAACTATGGGTTTGTGACGTATTACGACACCAAGAATGCTTTTACAGCAATCGAGAATGGGAGCAAGCTGCGCAAACCCGACGAGCTGCCGTTTGACCTCTGCTTTGGAGGAAGAAGGCAGTTCTGTCAATCCACCTATTCTGACTTGGGTAGGCGTTAAATTCTAAATAAAACCAACATTTCTGTCTCTTTCATGCAAGAGTACAAAATTATACATATTGCGTTTTCTTTGGGGAAACGTAGCTTGGTCAATCACTGATCTTTTGGTCTACGTCACAGTCAGTTTTTTTTTTTTTTTTCCCAGCTTTTGACAATTTATTAATTATTAAAATCAAACCCCATCTGGTAACTTGGTGACTTGTCGAGAAATGTACTCACATTGGTCATCTTGAATTTCTTTGACTGAACTGGGTTGTGCTCCTGCTTCTCATTTCCCACCCAGTCTAGATCTGCTGGTGCCAAAAGCATACACATTATTAAAGACATCGATAATAAAGCATTTTATTCTGCCAAAGTACGCCATATTTTACACCGTTCAAAGGATGTGTTAAGGCGATGGCTGTGTGACGTAAAAAGCGATTTTCAGTGACCAGAAGGTGTTTTTTATGGCGTTCTGTGGGACACCATATAGTGGTGTTGTGGGGAGGTTTTCACAGCTTTTTTTTTCCAGTGTAGAAATGGCGATTTTAAAGCAGCCTTAACGCTGCTCATTTTCTTTTCTTTCTATTCTGCTTCACCAACACTCCTTGTGCTTTTACAAATGGTTATTTGGCGACGTCTACCAATGTTGTTTTTCTGTGAATAACAACCAATCAGCATGAGTAAAGCCTGGTTCATGCTTCTCCGTCAGCTCCGCAAGGGACAGACACGCATGGACTGACAGAAGCGTTTTGCTCTTTTACTTCTCCGTCTCCTGGAGAGTGTTGCAAAACAATTACCCGGCAGGACCACAGAGGGCGTAGCGCTGTTCTGTGGTATCCTGTCATGTATCGATCCAAGATAGTGTGTTTATATTGTGTTTTTTGTGTACATAAGAGACTTTTAACACAGACATATTTGTCTCTCATTCTCCCACCTCTTCATGCGCTCCCCACCTCTAAACCCATGTTTCCTGTCATTTCCGTCCACAAATAAAACGCTTGCTGCCCATCTTTTCACTCCTCCAGTCACGGGAGAATTAAACGTTCATATTTTTAGAGTTTTTTCGAGGTATTCTTCAAGCTTCTCCGTGTCTGCCGCTAGTTATCCTCGGCTCTCTTTGCAATGGCGGCGCTGTAAACAACAGCGGCGTCCTGACCAATCACAAGCTTGCGTAATCCGTCTCGTTCGACGGATGTTTAAAAAAGTGGGCTCGACTCCGTACGTACTTGCGTGCCTGCCGGAGCCCTACGCAAGGACAGATAATGGCGTTGCGTGTCTCCACACTGACGCAGACGGAGAAGCATAAATCAGGCTTTAACCACACGTGATTCTACTGGACTTTTAAGAGTACACGCCCCAATGCAGGTACTCACCCGGTTCCTGAAATGGCCTGTAAAGTGGTCCTGTCAGGGTGGCCAGGTGGAAAGCCATGACGCTCCAGTAAAATAAACAGAAGCCCCAACAGTGGAAACGGTCCTTTGGTTCATGTCCACCTAAATGCCCATTCTCTTAAAGGAAAACACTCAACTTTAAATACTGTTGAATGAAAACTAAGTTTTAAGCATTTCAATTTAATTAAATAAGCCTGGAAGTGCTGTCAGTGATGTTCATTCACTGTAGATTATGATGTAAGAAAATATCGGTATGGCAAAATATCGTAATATTTTTTCCTGCGATATATCGATATTCAAAAGCTGTTTATCGTATTTTTGGGAAAATGTACACGCAAACATTTGTGCATTTTCTTATTTGGGTGGAGCAATTCAATCACCGACCGCTAGTTGGCAGCAGTGTGCAATGGGTTTTGTTTCCACCACTGAAATCTAAATCCCTCTATTATGGTTCATATACCTCATGTTAAACATGTTATCAGTTTGGACTGTTAATTGAATTTTCATACAATAATTTCAGTCTAAAAAAATTGCTAACATTGACTGGCTGAATGTATTGCAGCATATTGTGATCTCGTCTCCCCTGTATCGTGATGCATAAAATTTCACCAATTCACATCCCTACTATGCATTTATTTATGCATTTCCCCTTTATCTTCATTTCAGATTCAAGTAGAGAGTACGATTCGTTGAAAGGCAAAGGCAAGTTTCAAGCACTAGACTTCGACACTTTACTGAAGCAGGCTCAGCAGAATCTGAAGAGGTAACAGGAGGCCTGCAGCAGGAAGCAGCTGATGTTTACCATAGTCAGCAGGTGGTTCAGCACTTGCAGCGCTATCTGTGTATTGGTTGTTGCATTATTTTGTTTTGTTTTTTTCTTTCTGTAAGTTACCACCTTCTATTGAAGTGAACATTTCTAAAGAAACTGGTAAAATAGGGGAAAAAAAGAAATATTTTTTTAAACGGGTTTATTTAAATGTACAATTCAATTTATCCTCCTGGGACCCTGCATCCCTGAAGAAGACATCTGCTTCTTGTAATATATTATTTATTGCGTTCATTTAGACCCGTTTTAAATATTATGGGAAATGTTTGGAAATTTTCTATTATTTCAAGGGGGGGAAAAAATAAATAATTTTTTTATTTTGAAGTAGAAAATGTTCTTTTGTTTTTTTGGAGGTCCTGGAAACCTGAATAAAAATAAAGAAAAGTTTGGGTCTCAGGAGGCTAAAACTGTATGGAGAAATTTATTTTAAATTGGTAACAATATAAAATGAAATTCCCTAAATAGGGAGAGTATGGTATACAATGAAATGTAGACAAACATAAATAAAAACAAATGTTTTCCATCTTGGTGTTTTTTGTTTAGTTTTCATCATTAACTATTTAGTCTGATTTAGTCAATTGTCAAATTATTTTCAGCCTTGGTTGTGTGTTGCTGCGTTAGATCATTTAATGACAAACATGCAGAAGAACTTAATTTTATCTGTAACGAGATTCATGAAATGAATGAATAATTTCATCATTAAATTGTAAATTACCCACACATAGGTTTGTAATGCCTCTCAATCAGCATCATGCTCCAGCCAGAGTTTGAGCAATATTGCTGTAATTGTGTGTACGTGAAATTGGTTATCAAAGTGCATTATCCATCCATCCATTCATTTTCTTCCGCTTATTCAGAGTTTGTTGTGAGGGCAGCTGAAGTCAAAAGGCCTAGACTTCCCTATCCCCAACCACTTGGGCCAGCTCTTGGAGGAATCCCTAGGCGTTCTCTGGCCAGGAGAGAGATGGGGTCCATCCGTGTCCTGGGTCTCCCTTTAGGCCTCCTCCCGGTTGGACGTGCCCGGAAAACTTCACCCGGTGACATCCAGGAGGCATCCTAATCTGATGCCCGAGCCACATCAACTGGTTCCTCTCGATGTGGAGGAGCAGCGGATCTACTCCGAGCCCCTCCCGGATGAATGAGCTTCTCACCTTATCTCTAAGGGAGGGCCCAGCCACCCTTAGGAGAAAACTAATTTCGGCTGCTTGTAACCGCAATCTCGTAGGATAGGATCGTAGATCGACCGGTAAATCAAGAGCTCCACCTTCTGGCTCAGCTCTCTCTTAGCCATGATTGACCTGTACAACGCCCGCACCACTGCAGACGCAGCACCAATCCGCCTATCAATCTTGCGCTCTATCTTTCCCTCACTCGTAAACAAGACCCCGTGATACTCTTAACTCCTTCACTTGGGGCAGGATCTCATCCCTGACCCGGAGAAGGCATTCTACCCTTTTCTGAATCAAAAGGTGCAAAAAGTGCATTATACAAAGCCTAAGTATATTGTGGACAATCGTGTTAGTTGCAAAATATAAACAGCACCTCCTATGTGTTTGGAAGTGATGTAAAACAATAGCTGTATTCTTAATAAGGATTGGAAACTCCGATATTGTAGCTGTTGTAGTTGTGACCAAAAACAAGAACAGAACCCTAATTTCTGCAGTGGTGCCCCCAAGGGGTGCTCAGTGTTAATGAATCATATTAATGTTCATTCAAGCCATAAATTCTTATTTATTCAAGACAAATGTGAACCCTAATAAAGAAATATACAATTAATGAGTAAATCAGAATTTTAAAAAATCTCCATAGTTTTTTTGTGTGTGAAGACAACTGGTAAATTAAACTAAAAAATAAAATTCAAAAATTTTTGAAATAACATTTTAAACATCTGAAATGTATTTTTCTGACATGTTAGTGATTCTCAAATTGGTATAAAGTATTAGATGCATTTTTTTAAAGAATCAAATCACTTTTATTGTCACGTCACATGTGCAGGTACACTGGTACAGTACATGCGAGTGAAATTCTTGTGTGCGAGTTTCACAGCAACAGTTGTGCAAAATACAACAACGTCAAAACAAGCAAAATATAAAAATGGGTAATCTAAGTAATAATATTTATAGAATGCAAGGTATATACATTCCTAAATGTGTGTGCTAAGTTTTTTATTTTTCTACATGTGTGCGTGTGTGTATAATGCGTATATACATATTTAACCAATGAATAAAGTAAACAATAAAATAAGAGATATAAAATGTACAGTGGTTGGTAAGTGATAAAAACAGTGGCATTAATGTACAGTAAGGAGTGTGTAATGTTGGAGTTTCAGTAGTGAGGGTGAGGTGTCTGCGAAGTGTTCAGCAGTCTGATGGCCTGAATAAAGTGCATTGCCACAGGTTAAACTCTCCCAGACTTACCACAAGGACCAATTTTGTATTTTTACATGTTGATGGGGCCACCCCTAAATTTCCTGTGGCCCTCTTTCGCCACCTTCATCAACATTTCTGGGTGTGCCCCAGAAGCTGAATAGGAAGCTGAATTTTTTTATAGAAAATCATCTTCCTATCTACAAACATTGGATCTTTGTTTGCCATTTAGTTTCAGAGTAATTTTATACTCCTAACTGCCATTAAATTCGTAAATAATATTTCATTATTGTTTATAACGCAAAGAGAAACATTGCTTCGTGTAAAGCCCGGGCTTCTACTTATTTAAAAAGCTTTATAGAAATAAGTTAATTATTTTGGTGGGCAGGTTAACTATCTTGCTGTGCGTATAATCTTTGGGCGTTTTTGTAACTCAGACCCAGTTTTAACTGGTTTGAACCAGTCTCGTGAGCATGCGCACTCGGTGTAAACAGGAAGGACCAGCGAAAAGTAGGTCATTTTTACCATAAAGGAGAGGAGAATTGTCGGATGAAAAAAGGCGAAAGAGTTGTTTATCTTTATGCATCTGGTCGTATCTGTTTATGCGTTTTAAAAGCAGTGGGAGGATTTAGAAGAAAAAACTAATTCGCCAGTACCACAGCTGGCTCGACGCTGGTGACGCGATTTATTTCCTCCGGTGGGTTTTTCTGCTTAACCTACGTTTTATTTAGCAAGCGCTCTGTATTTGTCTGGATTTTGTTCGTGCTCTGTGACATTTGGCGAACAATGGTTCAGAAAGACAAGGCGTTGGAGACTCCTTCATTAGACGTTGAGCCAAGCCCCAGCCCAGTCTCTGGAGAGGCTTGTGTGGAGGCCCCGGGCCCGGTGGTGGACTCGGTAGGAGTCGAGTCGACCGGCCATAGAAAATTCATCAGTGGGGTTGTGGAAGGTAAGGTCCAAATATTAGCGTTCAATGCATGTTTTGTTTATTTACAGCTAAAAATGCGTGAAAACGCCGCATCAGTCTACCGGAAGGTTACAAGGATATCCGACTTGCTTGCAGGTGTTTTAGATTTTCCATAATTAACACGGTTTAAAATCTCTTCTCGTTCGGTGTTTACATTTCTCTACATGTCTAATCGAATTAGTCTAATAGAATCAAGGAAAGAAATGTTGATTTAAAGCAATATTTTTTATGCTTACCAGGATGAACAGAATATGTAGGTTTAATTGCTTTGTAGCTCGTGGTGAAGCCTGGATATTTTTTTCCTTCAGGCTTTTATGGGCGACCATGGACAATGGAACAGAGAAAAGAGCTATTCAGAAGGTAATGTGTATTATTTTATGTGATTATTATGGGAAAGGTAATGTTGAGACAAACGAATGGACCCTTTATTTATAGGCAACAAAAGTGGGGTTTGAACGCGTATCTCTATGCGCCCAAAGATGACTACAAACACAGAATGTTCTGGAGAGAACTGTACTCGGTGGAAGAAGCAGGTAACTGATTTTGGATTAATTAAATTTATATATAGTAATGTGCATGTTTCAGCTAAATTTAAGCAAAAACACTGGGATGCACCTTTTCTAAAATATATTTGTTCTCATATTTATTTTGCAGAGCAACTCATGACGTTGATTGCTGCTGCTCAGGAGCATGGAATAGAGTTCATTTATGCCATTTCTCCTGGATTAGACATAACCTTCTCTAACCAGAAGGAGGTTTCTGCTCTCAAAAAGAAACTTGATCAGGTATTTGGTTTTTGCGTCATTAGTAGCGCGGCAAAACCTTAAGTGTGTATCTTTTAGTCACTTATTAAATATATAATTCATTTTTCTTTTTCAGGTTACTCATTTTGGCTGCAAGTCGTTTGCCTTACTGTTTGATGATATTGACCACAACATGTGCCCTGCAGACAAAGAGGTATTCAGCTCTTTTGCACATGCTCAGGTTTCCATTACCAATGAAATCTACCAGTACCTGGGAGAGCCTGAAACCTTCCTCTTTTGCCCCACAGGTACTCTTTTTACGTTTGAATTCCGTTCATATATACATTTACATATTTCTTAGGTTATTTTCTGATTTGTCTTTTCTTGATTGCAGAGTACTGTGGCACCTTCTGCTACCCAAGTGTCTCACAGTCCCCCTACCTCCGAACAGTTGGAGAAAAACTGCTGCCTGATATCGATGTTCTGTGGACAGGCATGTTTTAAAACGCTACAGAGTTTATTACTTTAACTTATATAAATGTGATTTGTACTCATTTGTGTGTGTACGCAGGCCCCAAGGTTGTGTCCAAAGACATCACAGTGGAGTCGATCGAGGAGGTGTCTAAAATCCTCCGGAGATCGCCGGTAATCTGGGACAATTTTCATGCCAATGATTATGACCAAAAGAGGCTTTTCCTGGGTCCATACAAAGGCCGCTCCACGGAGCTTATTCCGCGGCTGAAGGGAGTCCTCACCAATCCCAACTGCGAGTTTGAATCAAATTTTGTAGCGATCCACACGTTAGCCACTTGGTACAAGTCCAACATGAACGGGGTTCGCAAAGACGTCGTCATGAGTAAGTACGATCTTAATCGGTCATGTTCTTGTGCTGATGTGGAGTGAATGGACTTTTCTCTATATGTGCGTTTGTTCACCAGCTGACGGTGAGGACAGCACCGTCTCCATCCAGATCAAGCTGGAGAACGAAGGTAGTGATGAGGAGCTGGAGACGGACATGCTCTACAGCCCGCAGCTTGCTCTCAAACTGGCTCTGACAGAGTGGCTTGGAGAGTTTGGTGTGCCTCATCAGTACAACAGTAAGAGCAGTTGCAGCGTTGGGAAAAGTCACTTAAAAGGCGGAGAGCTCTGTGTCGTAACGCTTTACTCTTTTAGGCCGACAGGTGCCTCAGAGTGGCTCCAAAAGTACAGCCATCGATGTAACGTCCATGTCTGCTCCAATTCTCTGCTCGTCCACGTCTCTCACAACTGTTTTCCAGCAGCCCATCATGTCTTCATCAATGCCTCCCGTCTGTCTGGATCCGCTGCCACACCCATTGACAAAAACCCCCCAGGAGGCAGAGGAGGTGAGTTTTGCTGTTTTAGATAGAGAAGTGATATATTCCCCTTTTTATTACTATTTTAGTGCTATATCTTGTTCCACTTTGGTTTTAATGCTACTCGAGCAGGTAGATGTGGAAAAGAAAGATTCAGACGAGGAACCAATGGAAACGGTGGTTGAAAAGCAAGACGAGCCAGAAGCAGAGACCGATCCAGAGGAGAAAAATGTTGCTCCTATCTTGGCTGACAAGATAACCGAAGACCTTAAGCCCATGGATACAGACAAGGAGAGTGGGGTGGAGTCCAAATCCACAGAAGAATCAATCCAGGAAGATTCTGGGAGTGACATCGCTCCTATGCAGACGGACGATCAGCTCAAACAGGTGCTAGAAACATTTCTTTAGTCCCGGAGTTAAACTGTAAGATTCAAACTTTTTTAAAATGATATCGTTTGTGTTTCCCTTCCTTAGGATGTGTTTGTGCCGGGGCCTAACGAGAAGCAGCTGTTCATCCCGGAGCCGCTGACACTCGAGGACCTGTGCTTGCTCGCGGAGCTCTTTTATCTGCCCTATGAACACGGACCCAAGGCCATGCAGATGTTGAAGGAGTTCAACTGGCTCAGAGCCAACAGCAGCGTCGTTAGCGTCAACTGCAAAAGAAAAGACAACGAGAAGGTGGGTTAGGTTTCTGAAGCAAAGGCACTGACTGCAGCATTTGTGAGAGAGAATGAGTATCACAGCTAAACCTGCTGGTAATGGAGCTGAAAACAAAATGGTGGATGTGCACTTCCCCTACTCCCCACTGGGTGGTGTAGTTATGATTGTAAATGGGGTGCACATGCGCTGCAAAGTGTGTGTCTATTTGTAGAAACAAGTTTCCTTGATTTTAACTCAAATTACTTCTGGGTGGTTGAAAATAAACAAGTAGTGATGTCATACCTTCTTCCACTTCCTGTTTCTGATCTGTGATGCTCCAGGTTGAAGAGTGGCAGACACGCGCCCACAAGTTTGAGGAGATGTGCTGCTCTGTTATCCACATGTTCACACGGCTGTCTAATATAGACAACCGCACCATCCTGTACGACCTCTATCCTTACATTTGGGACATCAAGAGCATCCTTTCTATGGTCAAGTCTTTTGTCCAGTGGCTCGGTACGTATGAAGGGAAATCGTGGCCCTTTTACTTGGAAAGTTGGATCTTAGCTTCAAGTCTTTAGAAATTGATTTGATGAATAAAAACAAATTATGGAAAACAGAATAGCTATTTAGCTGCATGAGCTTTACTGTAGTCAGAGCGATGTCGTGATGTCAGGCAAAATTATAATTTTCACACATCTGCTTAACAGATGGATGCGATTTCTGATCAGTAATGATAAACCTCAGAGACTGAGCATCCCCTATGTGCATGATGACAATCTGAGAGTAATACATCCATTAGTGGACGGTGGCAGTAATTATAGATCAGTTACGTAAGACTCGAGCCGCGTTCATCACTGGCAGTAGTTCTGATTCAACGAATGGCTCTTGTTTCACACGTTTATAGTTCTCCTTTTTCATCTGACTGAATGCTGCTTGCACTGCTAACATCCACCCTGTTCATCCCAGTAAAGAATAGCTCATGTCCAGACTGGGTCTCTGTGGAAACTGCCCCAGTAGGGTTTACTGCTGCTTGCTGTGTTTCCAGTAACATCACTGCTGTGTTCCCACTCAGGCACTTGCTTCCCTTTCTCTCTCTGTGAGGATGGGAGCCATGGAAAACAAAAAACCCATCCCCTATCCTCCATGCCCTAGCGCGCACGCCAGCTTGGAGAGCAAGTTAACAGATTTCATGTTGGAAGGCCATTCTGGTGCAAAAACGGTCAAATACAGCTAATTTGTCACTTTAAGGAGCAGATTGAGAAGTTACTTGATGTTTTTGTTAATTTACCTCTTGAGTATTTCTAAGATGAGGCTCCTCCAAATCGTCAGCTCAATCTGTATCATGTTTGTCGCCTTATAGGAGAGTTTCACTCCTAAAACTGGGGTTTGTAATGTGACATCAAGAGGAGACTTTGACATTTGAACAGCAATAGCTCCGCTGCTGCTTTCTGTCCCCTTTAGGAAGGAGCAGGAAGCCACATCTCGTACAGCACACACAAGTGGCTTTGTAGTGCTGACGGATAAGTAGTGTTTGATACATCGGGTTCTGCAGGAGCTGCTGATCACTTGATTTAGTAAAATTTGCAGTGTTCAAGCAGAGAAACATCTCAGACAGGAAACCGTTATCGTTGCTAACGCTACAACAGGCTAAAACACTAATCACTTAGCTCCAATACACAAAAGATGAATTTTTTTCTCCCTCTGCTTCCACGGGTAGCTCAGAGTTTACACACTGACATTAATTCCATGCAAGTGTGATTAGCATTATAGCTAGGTTTGTCTGCTAAGCTGACTGTGGCGTCAGTACGTCACCCCCAGTGCATGCTGGGAACTGGGGCACGTTCACATTTGTCGACCGCTCTTTGTTGTAGATGCACAATTCTAATGGTCAACGCTCTAGGCCAGGCCAGGGGACGGACTAGGAGGAAATATAATTATACATTTGAAAGATTACCCACTTTTATTTTGTAGAAGAGGGTCAGATGGTCTTATTTTTTTAAGTTGCTTTAGAATTTTAAACTACCTTCTCCAGCTTTAAAGGACAAGTCACCCCCATCACTGCACTCCCATTTCCTGTTTGAATAATGTGCCACAAGGAGGCGTTGCCTGGCAGACTTGAGAGGGCGGAGCCGCTAACTAACACACACACACACACACACCACACACACACAGGGCTTGTTCGAGTTGAGCAGCGCCTCGCCTGGAAACCAGACGAGAGCAGACAGACGCAGCAGGGGGAGTGGCTGAAAGCCGGCGTTTAAGCCGAACAGATGTCCCTACACGTGTAGCTAGCGGGTGACGACGGAGGAAGGTACCGCATTAGAGTTCATACTTGTTTAATTATTTTAATTCTGGTGCCTGTTGGCAATCGAAACACACCCTCACGTGCTTGTGGATATGATATAATGCATATGGAGTTACAACTGTAATAATAAGTGAAGGTTATCAGCTGTAGTTTTAGTGTGCTTATAGGAAACGTGAGAAAATTACACATCACATTTCTCGTTGTCATTATTGTTACATGATTTCCAGAATACATGTGAACAACTAACATTTCATATTCCAACACCAGATGTTTGAATCAAAATGTGAACCAATCAGATCTTAGATCAGGTGAGAGCCAGGCGTTTCCCGTCATCCCCTAAGTTTTGCAGCCGGTGGAGAGCAACGGCAGCGGCTTGCTCCAAACTCTGCGGCCGCCTTGATCTCACGAGGTTATCGTTGTCTACGTATGCATGACGTCAGAGTAAGTCGGACACAAATCTAACCGGCATGCACTGCTCGCCGGTCACCGGTGATCGAGTCTGCGCAGAACTGGCTCATCTCGAACAAGCCCACAGGCTCACAGAAGCATTGTGACATTATATGGTACCAGCTGATGTCATAGGGTACCTCTTAGCCAATAGTGAGGGCAGATTTAAATTCAGATGTAGAGTTTTAAGCACAGTATTTTAAATTAAACTAAGATGCACTAAAGTGCCAAATTATCGGCCACACATGTCTGCAGCATGGTTAGACACTCATTTTAGTTTATCAGCAAAAAAGTTGATTGGGGGTGACTCTGTAATTTGTGCTCCTCTCCTGCTAATATTCTCGAACAATGACTTGATGCAGTTTGAGTGACCCATGTTCTGATGGAACATCTCCATCATTTTGGCGAGTTGTTATGATGACTGAAGTACCAGCATGGCCTGAAGGTTACATTTGTAACCAGTTTCATTCACAGGTTTCTGTCCTGTTCAGCGGCAGAGTGTACGCAGCAGGCAGCAAACCCACACTGGAAAATCCACTTCCAAAGTAGTAGTGGTGCCCCAATGCACTACTAATTAGTTGTAATACTGGTAAAGAACAGTTCAGGTGTCTGCAGATGGTAAAAATAACTTCCCCTTAAAGGGAGCATTGCAGTCAGCACTTAGTCCTAACCTCCCTGGTTGTTGTACTGAGAACATTTATTAATAACCATGTTCTACTGTTTTCTCCCCTTACTACGTACAGATGGAAGAATCCACAGTACAAGTTTCTACTGCTACTGGATCGACAGTGGCCGATGTATGCACAGTGCAGGCGTTCTCCCCTTCTTTTGTCCATGTCTTAAATCGATTCATGTAATTTTTTTTTGAGTCAGTTTTGTTTCTGTAAAAATGAAGAGGAAAGAAAATGGCCCTCTGGATGAAGTCACATTTTGCGCAGCGATTTGAAGTTTGTATTTTAATTGTTAACTCCCAAATTTCTCTCTTTAGCGGCAACTTCTAACTTGTTTTTTTGTTTCTGTCAGTAGGCTAATAGAGGCGGCTTAGACCAGCCCGATGCACCTGCTCACAGGAACTCGGTCTTGGCTTTTAGATGGAATCAAAACCCATAAATTGGGCTTTTCTCAGGAGCATTTGTGACTGCAGTGGGAAAGTTAAATGGTTCAGTGGCCAGATAATGAAAGAACAGGCGCTTGTGTGGATTAATGGACGATCTGGGGTGGATTTATTTGAATCGTCTAGAGATGATTTGCTGTTGTGGTTTTTAATGTGGGTTGCCAGGTTCTGAGTTCCTTCATGCGGGTGCATCTGTATGCTGTCGCCAGCTCCTCACAGGGACTGTTTTAATATTGTGAGGCTCATATATAAAGCAGGGTAAAGGGCCTGCACGCGCGCAGCATTTGGCTGGTCACATGACAGGACTTCCTGTCAACCGGGGTAGGCTTGGTCAGCAGCGACGCTGTTGTAAATAAACACCTGTTCAGATACCGGCTGCTTTTTATGCGTCCGTGGCTGAAAATACGCATAAGCTCCCTTTAACTCGGGACTATGCACGTGTTTCCGTCTCCCTGGTTTTAATGACTCATGGTCCTCCGTCATGTGACTAGGCAGATAAATGAGAATGTGACTTCACACAGTGTGCTTAGGTCAGTGGGGCGATGGCAGCTAAAGCTTTATGCTGTCATTCATAGTTTAGGTCTGATGGTCGGTGTGTTAATGAAGTTTGTCAGCTTTTAATACACTAACTCAAATATTGAGGGTGGGATCAAAAGGCTCATAGTGACCTTCAAGACGATATTGCGATTTTTCTAAAAGCACAGAGCTGATTGAATCAATGTTTATGACCAAATTTTCTCAAACACGAGGTTTAGGTGCCTGAGCCCCATTATATGGAGTCTAGTTTATTCCTCAGTACTTTTTTTCTATTTTAATGATACAAATATAATTTTATAACAACACTGCTACCAGTTATATATTACCCCTTCATTCCCATCCCCCCACTTCCTTCATCTGTATCAGAGCCCCATCCTGTGGTAACAATGTCCGCTTGGCTCTGCTCCTAACAGGGTGTCGTAGTCAGTCCTCAGCACAATTCCTTAGAGGAGACCAAGAGCCCTGGGCCTTTAGGGGAGGTCTAGCAGGAGAGTTCCAGGTATCTAATGCACCGAAACAATAGCAACTAAATGGAAAAAAAGAGTGCTTTGAGCAAAAAAAGACGATGGTAAATGTGTGTAGGTATGAAGGGGTTTGGTCTGTCAAAGGTGAGCTGATCAGTGAGCTAACCCATCAAAATCCACATTTTATTCCCTCAATTCTACTCTGTAGTCGAGTTCTGTGTGTTAACCTGCAAAATCGTGATGCATGAGGGGGTGTGTAGTTCAACAGCCAGAGTTTGGCTTGATTTTTACTGATCTGTAGTTTCTTTCAGCGACTGGCCAAGGAGATGCTGCTTTTCCCTGGCGCACGCAGCGCAAGCGAGCATGGCTAGGTTTTATCTTCATGACATCTCATTTCTTTGCAGGAGCGCACAAAATGCCAAGCGAGCGCACGCGCGAGCATCGCAGCGCCAGCGTGAGCGCAAGCATGTCTACTAAAAGAGAACTCCAAGGCTAAACACTCCTGTCCAGTCTGAAACGAAGACTCAGTGGAAGCTCACGTTGATTTCCCTTTTGGTTTTTTTCCTGGAGTTCTCTGCATTTTTGCGCTAGCATCATTATTTTTCTCAACAGGAGGCTCCCGCGCAGCGAATTATTGCGATGCCTAATGAAAGGGAAAGGAGCATCTCCTTCAGCCAGTAAAGCCTTCGGGCAGACCAAAGCACACCCCTGGAATCTGTCGTGTTTTCAGAGCTTTGAGAACTTGTTCTGGATTCTTTGCCAGAGAACGACGTGATGTTTGCTCTGGTTGTCCACTGTCAGACCAACAAGGAACTCTACTTGGGAGTGTTTCCTTTGCAGTGATTATAAATTTCAAAGCTCTTTGCACACTTTTAGTTCCTTTTGGGTTGATAGTGGCTCAACTAGGCAAACACACTCGGGCCAAAACAACGCACCTTGTAGTCGTGAAACTGAACCTGTTTGTTTTGATACCCACAGAGGTTGTTGCCAATAGATGGGGCAAACGATCTTTTCTACCAACCTCCACCTTCTTTGCCTACCTCCAAAATGTATACGATACGGCCGTACTTACCCAAAGATGAGGTAAAATGCTTGTTTCTATTTAGTTTCTTGAAGCCCTTCACTACAGTAACGGCTGCATCTGCTGCTGTTGCAGGCTGCTGTTTATAAAATCTGTAAAGAAATGTACTGTGAAGGACTGGAAGACGTGCCCTTGTCTGAGGACGATTCGGACCTGATAGGAGACAGGTGAAACATGTTTGCAGCTGTTGCGCTAAAACCCAAATTGAGGCATGGCTGACCCAACCCTTCCTGTTTTGTTTACAGGTTAGTCGGGGGATTCCTGACTCTGAGCTCAGACTACGGGTTTGTCTTGGAGGACGACGAGGGGGTTTGTGGTTATGCTCTCGGCACGGTTGATGTAAAACCCTTTGTCAAGAAGTGCAAGTTGAGCTGGATCCCCCACATGCAGGAGAAGTACCACAAACCTGACTGTGAGAAGGATCTGACCGAGGCTGAAGTATGATCTGTCCCTTTGTGACATCGTCCAGATGATGTCGTCGAGGTAACTTAATGCTCTGCTCTTCTTCCTGCAGAAGATGATACTGAGTTTTCATGAAGAAGAGGAGGGTCTTCCAGAGTCCTTTCTATCCAACTTTCCTTCCCTCATCAAGGTTGACGTTCACGCCAAAGTCACTGATCCCAGTGTAGCTAAAAGCATGATGGGATGTCTCTTATCTTCTATTAAGGCCAATGGTAGGTGCCAGCCATTTTTTATTTATCAGGAGGAACTATGTAGCGACCTCCCTTTATCCCGTCTTGGTTGGAGAGGTGTCTGATGGCAGTTTATTCTAGCTTCAGCTTTGCTACTATAAATGCCAAAACCCTCCCCAGGATGCCGCGGCAAATCCCGTTTCAAAAACGCTATGGTCCTATAAAACCAGCTTAAGATGTGCACCCTGCTGACATTGGGACAACAGAATGGCAGTGACTGCAAGCATGGAGTGGGCGGAGGAGGAGGCCTATGTGCCACTTGAGGATATTTAAAAGCATGTTATTTTGACATATAAACAGAGGAAAAAATATATCGCAATATATATATCGTTACCGCACATGCTTCAGGTTATATCGCAATATAGATTTGAGGCTATATCGCCCAGCCCTAACTGTTAGCATTTTCGCTAACAGCTTCTTGCGTTTGGATAAGCTGTTAGGTTTTGGTTTAGAGTTAATCTTTTTTGTGGCGCAGATCTCCTTTTTATTACATTTAGAGTGTTGTGGGTTTTCAGTTTAGTTTAAAATATCACCTTGAGTTTGGTTTAACCGCCCAGTTTAGAGTTTGGTCCTTTGGACATCCTTATTTTGGTCCAGAACCCAGTAATCTTTGCCCAGTGGGACATCCCTACTTATTTGTACTAATGTTTTAATTCCTCACAGGCAGAATTAGTTTTATTATTCCCAACCTGTGGATGGAAAGATTTGTTTTGTTTTTTTTGTAGTTGTAAATAAACCTGATCATCATTTTAACTTTTAAATCCCGTTATTGTCCCTTCTTTTTTGTACACGAGCCAAACTCCCCAGGAAGGGTCGTAACACCACTCGCCTCACACACATAAGTGACCAAAACAAAGCAGCATGGAGACACTCCGTCTCCAACCACCTCTCAGGCAGCAGCCTGCACTCCCAAGTTCTACACGTCACCAGAACATAACCAACCAACACAATAAAAGCAGTGTTATACAAAATGGAAGCCCTGTGTGTTTATTCTCTTACAGTAACAATTTATCAATTTTTTTTAGAAATTTATTAGATTTTTTAGGTTTTTATTAACTGTGCAATAGAAAAATAATCATTAGATTAATTGTCTAAATAGTCATTAGAATAGTCGACTATTCGATAAAATAAACGTCAGAATAATCGTTTTAAAATAATCGTTTACCCCCAGCCCTAGTTGAAACACTCTGAAGGGAAACAAGTGGATATATTTCCTTATTTCCCTCCTTTTTCCAGTATAAAGTTTTTTGTTTTCAACTTCCAAACTTAATATTGGACAGAGGTGTCTCTTAGACTTTGGATTCTTGCTCTAACAATTTTGTTTTTGTATTCCAGGCTCCCATGGTGCGTTCTGTAAGGTTCGTCAGACCGATAAGCGAATGTTGGACTTTTATAGTAAGCTGGGATGCTTTGAAGTGGCTAAAATGGACGGCTTTCCCAAAGATGTCATCATAATGGGACGCAGCCTTTGAAATGACGAGGTTCACAGACTCCGCAGAGAAAGTTCATGTCAACAGCTCTTACACATGTTTGCTACCTTTGAGGATTTTCTACCACATTACCATTTAGGCTTGTTTTTTACAATTAGCATTGACAAGCACATCTGTCCAGCAGCCTTTAGATGTTGTAGCTGTTTTGAGTTTGGCAGGTCCACTGCTGAAGGATCCAAAGGAGTTTTAAAAAGTAAAAGTTGGGAATTTAAGGATTGACTTCCTTGTTTTCCCACTACTATTTTACCTCCAGGCCATGGGAGGTCATTTCTCTGAATATGATCCCACACTCGGGAACAGCGTCTTCAGCTTCTCTGGTGTCTTACCCTCACATCCTGCTGCTCTGACAGGTTTAAATGAGGGTTGAGTTGCACGTCAGCGCCATGTGGCAGCATTTTGTTTTTGCTTTACACTTTGAGATGAAGGATTTGTGACGAGGCTTATTCAAAATGTTTAATGTGAATTTCTGGGTCTGGCCCTGAGGAGCACCAAGAAAAGGGTGTCCCTCTGAATTTCTGTTGATGTACAGAAAAGCTTTTACACAAATAGTTTGTTTTGTTTTGTTACGGTTCCATTCAGCTGTTGCTGTTTGGTTTTCCTTTAAGATTCTACATTTATTTCTTAGGCTTCCATTTCCTCTGAGCAGTTTTTTTGGTCAGGCCGTGATGACTGAAGAGGAGTGAGTTTTGTATATTGTGCTCGTCAGAGAAGTAGCTGACTGAACAGCTGATTTTTGTACAAAAGCTTATGTATGATTGCACATTTACTAAATATCACCTTTTTTTTACTTAGTTTTCTTTCAAATGGTTAAAATTTCAATTTTCTTTTTTTTTTTTAGAACAAACCCTAGACACGTTTACCTACTGGGACCAACATATTCAGTTATTTTATGATTTCTGCTTTTTGTTTCCTGATTATATTAAAATAATTTGAAGGGGCTACAATATTAAACCGTTATACGAAGTTCAGTTCTTTGCTGTGACTTTAAGGCCTGGTTGTTCAAATAAACAGCTAACTTTACCTTCAGCCTGATGTGGTTAGTTAAAGAATCATTAGTAATCATTAACCTCACGATAAATGAATATTAGTTCAGACTAGTTTTACACAGATCAGTGCAGATACCGTTCATCTGCAGCTTTATAGGTTTAACCTCATGTTTAGGCTTTTCCTGTGTTATTGAATGTTTTCTAATCCAAATATTTAGTTTGGGTTTAATATTCAGTACATTAAATCTAAATTAGTTTTCTATTGATTACAGTAGATAATCAGACACTACCCTATAGCTGCTTGTCAATGTGGTGTTTCAGAGTTGTACATTTCATAATGTGCATGAGGTGTATTTGATCTGCTGTGGAGGACTTGAATAAAAATCTCATCTGGTGCTGCATAAAAGAAGCATGCCACCTACAACTAAAAGTATAATGGTGTTGTGCTTAGTCTGTATAAGCTGTCGTATGGTGATGAACTTGTAAATAATCTTTCAAACTGGCATGCAGTCTAACTTTCAACGGGCTGCTTTTCTTGTACACCTGCATCAGCGATGCGTGAAATTTGCTTGCAAATTTTCCCTTTGACAAATTAAATCGATGTTTGATTTCTTTTATGGTTCCTTTTGCAGTATGCTGATATTTGTGCTTTTTTATGCCAACTTGATTTGACAATTAGGAGAAAGGGCTCCTCTTGTACATTTTGAGTTTAGATAGGGTGATTAAAGTAACCGTTTGTCTTTGTAAAATTTCTATGTATAATACGTTATAAAATCAATAAAGCATATTGAGTTGCTACAACAGGTGTCGAGTGTATTGATGGTTTGGGGGGATATTTCTGTATGGTATGGTATTTTATCCTAAAACGTTCTAGTTTATACTGCTTTGATGTGTAAAGTCAGGCGTTTTTATATCAAAAATAAGACCCCACTACGCGTCTAAAACACACTGATAAATTCTCACTAGTAAAGTAATATGTTTTAAACAAATTGTATGACAATTGCGAAACTGGCGAACCAAAACAAATCACCAACCTACAGGCGCATACTGATGACGTAGAGATATGCTATTTATCCGCGACTCCTGTTTTTCGTGAAACACTTTTAGCCACAAACTCTGACCATTTCAGCTGCCGACACGCTTTAACAAAATGTCTTTTAGTGAAGAAGAATCCGTGGAAGTTGGTTTTACTGGACAATCAAAGTTGGAGAGCTTCTTGTTCAGTAAGAACCATTAAAACTTTTTTTTCGTGCCGCTCTGTTGGTGCACACGTGGGTTAACGGACGCTCCGAACGACACGAAAATGTCTCAGTGTCTCTGCTGCGAGTTTGATTCTTGTTTTTACTATTATTTTATCTTTAGGTTGCGAGTTGTCATCCAAAGTGCCTTTCTACACGTTCCAGGAGGACGAAGACGAAGACCTAGAGCATTTGCTTGAACTCAGAACAGTATGTGCTTCATAAATCTCACATTCGCAGAGTAGCCTCTGCTTGTCTGATGTTAACGTGCATGTGAATTCCACGTCATTCTTAGTTTTGTTTCTTATTATTGTCGCAAATTACCACATGAATCGTCCTCTATGTGGCTTCCAGTTGTGTGGGTTTCATCATCGTGTTTCTCGCAGATCTGTCTCGGTGAAGGTGTTAAGGAGGAGAGCAATGTGGTGGAGGTCACAGCCATGAACCATCAAGGAAAGACCATCTCAGTTCCCATTGCTAACCTCCACATTAAGTGTCTGCCTATGGTAGGTGTGATGTAGTTGCTTGTGAACCACGCAGCTGAAGTCTGCACATCTCTTACGTTGTGTGTTTTGGTTGTAGGTGAGTCTGGGAGAGTTTGAGCTGAGGGCCCCGGTGACCATCCGGCTCAAGGCTGGAACAGGACCCGTTGTTGTCAGTGGGCTACACCTCATTGGTAACTTTTGGTTTATATTATAATTAAATTTGTATTTAATCACTCCGAGCATTCATGTGATCACCACTTAACCTTAACTGGACTTATTCCAGTTGCCTTTATTTGACCCTGTTGAATGATCATGACCTGGATGACTGGGAGCATTCGCCAGCACCACTTAACCTTATTTAAGTTTTATTTTTTTAAACACAAATGTAAACTGTTAAGGGACACTATTTAGACAGCCTTTTCCATTTCTCAGTTCTATTCTCATTTACTCATAAGAGTAAACAAACCTCATTACTGTTTGTTAGTCATTCATTTTTTTGACCAACGATCATGTTGGCAGAGATGGTTTATTTGGATTATATACTTTGATATTTACTTTAAAGCTGGGGCCTGTCGAGTGACGTCATCACAGAGGTGGGGCATATAAGGAAATTTGAACTAAAGCTCCAGCTCCTCTAAAAGGAGCTGAAAGCCACGCCTCATACCTTGCACGAATGGAAAGTGGAGCTAAAACAATAGTGTGGTTTAGCTTAAAGAGCATCTTGTAACTAAAACCACAAATAACTTTTTTTTTTGCTAATTAACTGTATAATTTTCTGTATAACTGGGTCTTTACAAATGCAATCTTTCTGTTTCTGTGCATTTTTTGACATGTTTGTGTAAACGTGATTAAATCTAGAATCTAGATCTAAAAAAGTCTTAGTGCTGCCCCCTGTGGCAGAACAGCAGCTACTGCATTTTAAACTTGTGATTGACTGGGGCTGGAACTATTTCATGTCATCGGTACAGTCTCCTCCCCCTCCCACCCAGGATGGAAATTCCCCACACTTGGCCATGCCACTCTGTGCTTCCTGGCAACACCCACTTTCATAGCATTTTTCAAATCTTGACTAGGGTTGGAGTTACATTTTCTGATGGTGCGCAGTCCCCTGTTCATTGAAATGGTAGAAAAACATCCAAGATCAAAAAGTTACTTTGGGTGTCCATTTAGGTTTTCAGATAACTAGCAGGTGTTTAAAAATACAAAATCAAGAGAAGTGGGCAGGCTTCTCTAAAAACGCACAGTTTTGGAGTCACATGACACAGTACGTACCTTGAGGTAGATGTGCTTTACTGCTGTTATTTTTAGTTGCTGAGGTAACACAGAATCAACTAGTTTAATGATGGTTAATGTTTGTTTATGTTGGGGTTGTACAAACTACACAACACCACAGCAGAAGATAGAGAAGCAGAGGTCAGATCAGATAAACGTAGAAGCGACATGGGCTGGGGCTTTCTATTGGCATTGGTGTAACTGCAGGTTGCCATGTTGGATGGGTCACCAGTCGCTCCCAGTGCATTTATTGGACTAGAAAAGTCAATAGTAATCCCACATAATCTGTTTTCTACAGTACGCCGGCTGTTGAAACGTAGACCGCACAAAAGCAGGCATAGTTATAGCAGGTATAGACAGCACATCACACCCACTCTTAAATCACTGTACTGGTTGCCCATTCAACTCTGAATCAATTTCAAAATTCTGCTCCTTACGTTCAAGTCTTTGAACAGTCAGGCCTCACCATATCTGAGCGAACTCCTCCAGTTTAACCAGCTGAGACCTTAGGTCTGCAGATCAGCTCCTCCTCACCGTCCCTAAGGCACGTTTGAGGACTCGCGGGGAAAGGGCTTTTTCTATCTGTGCCCCGAAACTCAAGCACCCTCGCTTGTCATCTTTAAGTCTCGGCTGACAACACACTTTTTCCCCTTGGCCTTCGATTTTTAAAGCATTACTCCTTTCAGTGTGGTTCTTTGATTTAAAATCTGTGGTTTGGCTACTTTTAAATCCGTGGTCTGTTTTTATGGTTGCAGCTTGTTTGGTTGACAGTACTTTGTTGTACTATTTTTAGATTGTTTTTATGATGTGACTTTTATGCTTTGTGTTTTTTTTTTTTATTATTATTATTATTATGTGCTGTGCTTTGTTTGGCTGTGATACCATTAAAAGCATTTTATACATGGTTGCTCACTCGGCGTTGACTCCGATTAGGTTTTGGAGAGTGAGGGACCCATCCAATATGGCGGTGAAGGGGTTACACTGCAGTGCTCAATGTTGCATCTTTGTATTTCGTTTTCGTTCCATCTCGTTCCCACCTCATGTAGCAAATAGCTGTTTTTTTCCTAAAATAGTACATTTTTACTGATTTCAAAAGTAAACGTAGACCCACTTTTTATTCTGATTGCTGTCTGGATGTGGGACTACTTGCTTTTGAGAGTAATGAAAAAGTAGTAAAGCGGCTCGTGTGATTGTTTAGACCAATGCCGTGCTCGCATTTAGTAAACAGGAAACATAGGTGTACTCAAAGTTGCAAAATAGCAGCAATTATGATTCAACTACCTTAGAAACTCATAAATTAGATGGAAACGTGTTTGATGTAATTCGTCAGGGGACAAGTTTCTGTAGAAGTCTATTTAAATTAAAATGCTCTTACCAGTTAGTGTTTCCAAGTCTGTGTGATTTTTGACATTCCCGCGCTTCAGCAGCTCTTCTTTCACCATTTAAAATTATTATCCCCGTTTAACCTCCTGTTCCCATCAACTCTTGCTGCTGGCTCAAAACTGTGTGGCTGTGCACCTTCAGTATTCATAAATGTATGTTTATATTCAGAATCTGGAGCTTCGTGCTGCTGCTAAAAATCCTTTTTCTCAACAGTCATGTGGATACACAAATCCACTGGTCAACGCTCTAGGCTTGTGTAAATGATTGGTTTTGCAGTGGAGGCCAGAGGAGGGACTTAAGGGAAATAAAAACTATGAGCTACCAGGGTCAGATGGTCACATTTATGCAGGTTTTTTTTTAATCTCTTAAAACATTTTAAACTACGTACCCCAGTTAAGTGTCCCTTTTGGATCTTTGTTCCAATTTTCCATCCTATAAAATAAAATAGGCTTCTTTAAATAGAATATAAGGAAAGACAAAATATGTAATCCAAACTCTGGGTTATTATTAATTTCTTTTATTCTTAAATAATATTGAAAAATTCCGTTTTTGAAATCGTCTCTTATTCTTGCCAGCCTCTCAGGTGGAAGACTCCGATAATTCTGAAGAGGACGAGGATGAGGACGACGACGATGACAAAGAAGAGTTGCCTGCTATTAAACCAGCAAAGAAGAAGCAGAGCCATTAAAAGGCAGAAAGCTTCCTGGTGAAAGGTTTTGGATTCACTAACTTGTTGATGTTCCAGAAATGTTTTTTTGTACCAGATGGATGCATTTTTCCACACGTTCCACAGTAAACGTTCAGTGTAAGGCTCGGATTACTTGCTCATCACACGGTCTCTATGTCTATTTCAATTGCTTTAATAAAAACGGTCTTATCCACTGTTTTGTAAAATATACAGTCTCTGTCAAGTTTTACTGGGGGCTTTTTCACCATTAACTTATCGTCAGAAAAAAAATTCAAATTGAGATGGTTTTCTATGCAAATTCATTAAACTTTTTGTTGAAAGTGTGTGTGTGTGTGTGTGTGTGTGTGTGTATAGAGAGAATCCATTTTTTTCAATTTACTTCCACATTTATAATTCTAAATGTTCAACCCAGTGACTAGAAATACTGGACATACACCACCGATAGGTTTCTGGCACGTTTTGAAGCCAAATGGGCACTAATGTTTGCCGCCATTTTGGCTGTGTCACATGTCCTGTCACGCCCAGATAATCCAAAAATGGGAAAAGAAGTGGAGCGGAGGGTGGGAGCAAATGATTGACACCCATAAACTGAACCAATGTAGCTACGAGCTAACACAAAACTACATAGAGCTAGTAGCTAACGAGGTAGCTACATACTGCCTGAGCTAACCTGAAGCTAATGGAGGTTTTCAGGTGCTGTTAGCCAGAAAAGCTTGGTTAAGTGACTCTGAAGTGAAGCATGCATCAAGTCAAGAGCTGTGGTGTTTCTGTGGTCTCCCACAGAGAGTTCCACAGGCAACCAGTATGACGCATGGGAGCCAGGTGGCCTCGTGGCTTGGCTACCCCAGGAGGCCTCCGAGAGGCTGCAGCACCATATTCGAGGCTCTCTGATCGTAGGGCCATCGCTGGTGAAGGGAGAGACACGGTACCAAATTTCTGTAATCCTCCCTTTTGCATTAGCGACCTCGCAGATCTTTGACTGCGGTGGACAGCGGAGCCCTGAAACCTCGCTAGCCTCGGCCAGTTTACCTAGCTCAAGTTTCGGTACCCATCCATCTTTGACCAAGCAGTGTTATGTTAAATGCACAGCGTTTTCCCCCTATTTAACCAGCAAATTAAAATATAGAAATATAATTTTACTCACTGATAAAAATGAAGCAGAGACTTCTTGGATGATCTTTTAGCGCAGGGGTATTTAATTCCGGTCCTGGAGGGCTGGTATCCAGCACGTTTTAGTGGTTTCCCTGCTCCCTGCAGAAGCCTGTTAATCACCTCCTGATTGAAATCAGGTGTGTTGAAACAGAGTTAAAACTAAAACGTGCTAGATACCGGCCCTCCAGGCCCAAAATCAAATACCCCTGTCTTAGTGCAATCAATACCACAGCTTAGCCTCTTTGTCTAAATAATTCCATGATTAACACCCAAACACAACACACAGAGGACCCAAATGAAGTTTAGTGTCGAAATGGCCGAACATCTATTAAAGTGAATCTGAGGCCTTCCCCGAAGCTAGCGCCTAACGCTAGCTCTGATGCTCCTGCCACCTGTAATAATTATTCACAATTTCAAGCATTTAATTGCACCTAAATGGAAGTGTTGCACAACCATTCACCCCCCTCGAGTTGTCATGACTAAACTAGATCTATTAAACCTGTCATAATGGCTGTAAACATGTTTATTTCTGCTGTGAAGTTGATGTTTTCAACATGGGAGTCAATGAGAATTTGCTCACTTCTGGTGCCAGCTCCTAGCGGATGAGGAGGGAACTGCAACTTGTGTCACTTCCTGCTTGGCTTCAGGTCTGGGATCCTCAGGTTTTCCCTTGGTTCAACTTGATCGGTAAACTTTGTGACGATATTCAGGATTTGACTTGATGTAGAAACTTTAATGTTTTTTCTTTTTTGCATATTTATGTAGATTTCCATAAAACATTTTGTACACAAGGCAGTTGCAAGTGTTTTGATGCATTGAAAATGAAGAAAAAACAGTTAAATATTTCAATAAAAAACAAACTGCATGAATCGTATGAACAAAATGGTTAAACTGCTGCCAAAGTGAATAGCAAGATTCTTATTTCAGCAGATATTTAGTTTAGAAGAAACCTATTTTACAAATTGGGAATATTAAAGCAGAAGCTGATTCGCTTTGAAATGGAAAATATGAAAGTCTGCAACACTATTGCAATTTGGAAGGATGTATTTTGTCTAAAAGTGTCTAATCCGAAAACACTGAGATGAGAAAAACTGGAGAAAAAAGTATCACGTCTTAAAATCAGTCATAGTCCAGAGGAGCAAAAATAAACAACATAGATCTATATCCTGACCTGAGTTACTGACCCTGAGATGCCACCTCTCCTCAGATTTCAGCACATTGTATAAACTACATATTTTAACCAGGGACAGACGCACTTTGCATGTTTCGTGAGAAGTTGTGCAGCTGCAGAGAGGCAAGATTAACTAAATAGTGAGCAAATATGCAGGAATATTGTTCCGTGCAGAAACAGACCCCTCTTTTTGGGGTTTTAAACAAAGTATTTATAAAACCTTTGGATTCTCTCACCCGTTTTGAGTCACACACTGCCAGAGTCACATGACTGGTAGCAGATCAATGTGCAACAATCCTCCAACTGGTTAATGTCACCTTCACTGAGAGCAGGTGCTGCTGTTTCCAATTTTCTGACTCATAAACCACATCCAGCTGGTATGCAGTGGGCTGGAAGGGAGATCTAGGGACTGTTTACTCTGCCTTCATGAGGTGTTAGGATTTTATAGTGCAGTCATCATCTTTGTATAGAGGTGACACAAGGACCGGAGAATATGATACACACCTACAATACTTATTAGATTTGGTCATTTTGTCAGCAATTATCGAAACAAACTCAGAGAAACTCAGCAAAAGTAGGAAATTTAGTTTTTAATAAATAAATTATTTCTTAATTATTTTATTATAATATTCTATGGTCAATACAAAATGTAATCATGAAGTTCTTTGCACTAAACCCCTCTCACATAAAGGTATTTCAACAGTTTTATTCTTGACATTGTCAGTACCTTCCAGAATGGGCCACTTTAGGGTTCTGTCACTTTACTGCCTGAAGTAAATAAACAATTGTTGACCATAGATGTCGCTGTGGTCGCAGTGGGTAGGCGGACCTGTCAGAAAAGGTCTACGCCTCCTGCTGTCCTGGTGGAAAAATGCTTCACAATGCTGACAAACCAACAGAGAAGTATAAAAGAAAAACGTCCCTGTCAGTGCGTGTGAGTGCAAACTTGCTGCCGGGGAAGGATAAATATGGCTTAAGAAAACAAGATGGAGATGGCCACACCCACCTATCCCCCCCACAGGCTACTATAGGCTGAGAAGCTCCAAAATCTAGGAGGGGCTTAGAGTAGAGCCGGTGCTCCTCCAACAGCAGCTCTATCGCGCAAGTTAGAGGTGGTCCTTATTTGTGACATCACAAACCGGAACTTTCTGAAACAGCTTGTTTCAGGTAAATAATTCCCAAAACCAAAAAGTAACAGAAAATGTATAATTTTTTTCACATTTGGAGTGTTTATAGAGGCAGTAGAGGCCCACATACTATAATAAAAAAATATGCAAAAAGTGAGTTTTACATAATATGTTCCCTTTACAAAATGCACTCATTGTTTCACTCAAGAGTTTCAAAAGTTACCATAGCAACAACAGACATTGTTTCAACACTGCTGCACAAAAAGACTCTAAAATACCTTTTATATTAAATGTAATGCCTGCATATTTCCACTAGCCTCACCCCCCCACCCCCACCCCACCCCGCTTGTTGCATTTATGTAGATTATTTAAACGTTGCCGGTTTCCCTTCGGCTGAAGGACTAGTTCGTGTTACAAATGATTTCCATGAACAAAGATACACCCAAAGTTCAATAAATGTTAGCCATGGATCTTTGTCTTTGATGCTTGTGCACTATGTGTGTGTGTGTGTGTGTGTGTGTGCGTGTGTGTGTGTATGTGTGTGTGTATGTGTGTGTGTGTGTGTGTGTGTGTGTGTGTGTGTGTATGTGTGTGTGTGTGTGTGTGTGTGTGTGTGTGTGTGTGTGTGTGTGTGTGTGTGTGTGTGTGTGTGTGTGTGTGTGTGTGTGTGTGTCGTGTCCTGACGGAGAACATTAACCCTCTCAAAAGCTTCACCCTGCTACATTAGACATTTGCACAACCTGAAAGCTGTGCAAACGGACTGCACCTATGTCAATAATATTTATGAAAGACTTGACTTGGAAGCTTCACCTTCCAGTTCACCTCAGCTGGTGTGATTCACAGGTATTCAGATATCACCAGATTCTGAATACTTCAGTGTTGTACACCTCAACAACGAATCAGGCTTCTCTTCAGGTCAAAAAAATGAAAGATTTTACGTTTTAGCAAATTTCTTCAAAATAAAAGCCCATTGTGTGTATCCTGCTTGCTTTAATTGTTCTTGGTTTGTGTCAGACTCTACCTGTGACAAAATGAGTACACAAAACTCTGAAGGAGCAAACACCTGTGTACATACACGACTCCACAGCTCACACTGAAAGATGAATAAAATCAGATAATAAATATGTCGAGTCAACAGTCTGAGAAAAGAAAGCTTTCATTCATTCCAGGAAAACCAGTAGCTTCAACAGAAAGACCACTATAAATCTATTTGTCTTTTTCAGTTAAACACCACTCACCAGATTTTTTTTGGTAATTCATTAATTTACGCCCCTAATCCATCTCTCTATTCCTCTTTTTTAGTCATTATCCTTCATGAGATCTCAGAGAATCCTATTAAAAAGATCTTGATGTTTGTCGTGCTATAAAAAATGTTTTTGTTCCAATACAGATGTTGTCCCATATCACCATTCTGCCACTACCATGCTTGATTGTTGCTATGATGTTCTGCACTGTTAGTTTTAACACAGATTTAACGTAAGGCTCCACTTTTGCCTCACAGATTGTTTTTCTAATAGGTTTTACGTGATCTTTAGGATGTTTTTTGCATAATGTCAGATGGAGTTTGGTGTTCTGTCGAGTCAGCAGTTCTTTTTAAAGAGCAAGTCACCCCCTACAAGAAAATTACTTCACTCCCACTTCATGTTTGAAAAATGCAACAAATGCTGTTGCTTGGCAGACCGAGAGGGCGGAGCCGCTAACAAATACACACACACAGGCTCACAATGGCATTATGACATCATAATGAACCAGATGACATCATAGCATACCTCTTAGCCAATAGCGGTGGCAGATTTAAATTCAAATACAGTGCAGAATTTTTCCCTGACGACGGCGCAACACTGACAGTTTTAGGCAGAATATTTTAATTTTA